GTTAATTTTTTCTATGAGCACTTACTTTTTACAAACCAAGATTTTCTTAAACCTTTTAACTTAATGATCATGTAAGTAAAGTTAAATATTACACTATATATTTTTAAAATTTTTGTTTATGTAGTGGGGTAGGGAACAGAGAACACTCGTACCTACTAGTTCACTTCACAAATGCCCAGGAGCTAGGAATGCAATCCGGGTCTTCCACATGGGTGGCCATAACCCAGTTACTTGAGTCATCATCACTGTACACCAGGGTTTACATTAAAAGGAAGCTGGAGTCAGGAGCCAGAGACAGGAATTGAACCCGGGACTGCGATGTAGGATATCAGCATCTTAACCACTAGGCTATTTGCCAACCCCTAAACTGTATATTTAAAAGCCTTATTGGTCAGATTATGCAACATAGTTGTAGGACCCAGCTCCCGCCTCTCACACTCTCCCTGCGGAAACCGAAATTTCTGCATGCTCGAGTCTCTCATATAAAATGTTGTAGTATTTGCATATAGTTTATGCAATTTGCATTCTAAGTCATTTCTAGATGAATTATAACACCTAGTACAAGGTGAGTGCTATATAAATGTTTGTTCTACATTGTTTAAAGAATAATGACAGGGCAAAACATTTGGACATGTTCAGTATAGACACATATTTTTCTAAACATTTTCCATCTGCTGTTGATTTAATAGATGGATACAGGCATCTCAGATTCAGAAGAACTACTGTATTACAAAGTATTATATAGAGGTTCATAGTCTGTGCGGGTTGCTATAGCAAATCTGCCAAAGTCTATTTGGTTTATAAACAGCAGAATTTTACTTCTCAGAGTTCTGGAGGCTGGGAAATCTGAGATAAATATGGCCCTGGTTTGTATATGACCATTTTTTCTCTATAACCTCACCTGATAGATGGGACAAGTGACCTTCCTGTAGTTTATTTATAAAGGTTCTAAGTCCCTATCTTCATGTTCTAATCACCTCCCAAAGTGTCCACTTCTAAATATCACCACATTGGATATAAAGTCAACATATGAATGAATTTCTGGGGAACATAGCCATACAGTCTATAGTACACACAGAACTATTATTAACATAAAAATGTTAATGCTTCATAATTTTTCTGATGTATTTCATGCTTAAGTTATCCAGTGTAAATCAGGATTCTCCAAAAAGACAGAACCAACAGGAGCTATAGCTAGAGAGATTATAAAGAGTCATTTGTGGCCGGCGCCGCGGCTCACTAGGCTAATCCTCCGCCTTGCAGCGCTGGCACACCGGATTCTAGTCCCGGTCAGGGCGCCGGATTCTGTCCCGGTTGCCCCTCTTCCAGGCCAGCTCTCTGCTGTGGCCAGGGAGTGCAGTGGAGGATGGCCCAAGGCCTTGGGCCCTGCACCCCATGGGAGACCAGGATAAGCACCTGGCTCCTGCCATTGGATCGGCGTGGTGCTCCGGCCGCAGCCCACCGGCCGCGGTGGCCATTGGAGGGTGAACCAGTGGCAAAGGAAGACCTTTCTTTCTGTCTCTCTCTCTCACTGTCCACTCTGCCTGTCAAAAAAAAAAAAAAAAAAAGAGTCATTTGTTAGGGGAAGTGGCTCACACAATATGGAGTTGGAAAAGTCCCATGGCAGGACCTTTGCAGGCTAGAGAGCCAGAGAGTCTGGTAACATAATTTTCTGAGTTCAAAGACCTCACAACCAGGGAAGCCAATGGTGGAACTCTGTTTAAGCCTGAAAGCCTGAAATTATGGGAAACTGCTGGTGCTTGCCCTAGAATCCAAAGGAAAAATGAATTTGGAGTTCTGATGTCCAAGGGCAGAAGAAGAAACGTGTACTACATCCAGCAAGGAGAGAGTAAATTCACCTTGCCTCTGCTTTTTTGTTCTGTCTAGGCTCGCAGATGATTGTATTGCATCTGCCCAAACTGAGAGCGGATCCTTCCTATTCAGTTCCCTGACTGAATTCGCATCCAGTCTCCTCTAAACACTCTCACAGATCCACCCCAAAATATTGACTTTCCATCTGGTTAGATATTCCTTAATCTGCTCTAGCTGACGTCCAAAAGTCACCATCACACACACTAATATAATAATTTTGCCATTCCAAATAATTTTTTGATATCTTTCAGCTGCTTGAGTTTACGTATGAATTAGCGATTTTGATAGTTGTTAAGAACTGGGGCCCTAGTCATGAGTTGCCAAGGCTATGGAAGCCTTTTGAGTTCACCGCCATTCCCTTCTAGCTTGTAGGGTTTCTGTTGAGAAGTCTGCTGTGAATCTAATTGGAGATCCTCTGAGAGTAATCTGACGTTCTCTATTGCACATTTTAGAATCTTTTTCTTTATGTTTCACTGTGGTGAGTTTGATTACGTGTCGTGGTGAGGATCTCTTTTGGTCATGTATACTAGGGGTTCTATAGCTTCCTGTACTAGGATGTCTCTGTCCTTCTCCAAACCTGGTAAGTTCTCTGCAAGTATCTCACTAAAAAGGCCTTCTAATCCTTCCTCCCTCTCCATGCCTTCAGGAACTCCTAGAGCCCGAATGGTGGTTTTTTAAATAGTATCCTGTAGATTCCCAACAATATTTTTTAGATTTCTAATTTCCTCTTCTTTTCTTTGGTTTGACTGTATACTTTCCTGTTCTCTTCTAAGTCTTCTAAGTCCGATATTCTCTCTTCTGCTTCACTCATTCTGTTTTTAAGGCTCTCTAATGTGTTTGTCATTTGATCTATTGAGTTCTTCATTTCATTTTGATTTCTCTTCACTGTCACACTTTGCTGTTCTACTAGTTTCTGCGTTTCAATTTGATTCTTCGTTAAGATTTCATTTTCTTGAAGGAGATTTTCTATCCTGTCAAGTAAGGATTTCTGCAGCTCAACCATTTGTTTTTGAAAACTTCTAATTGTTCTTATCATAAATATTTTTAAATCGGTATCTTGCATTTCTTCCATCTCATCATCTTCATGATCTTGGCTTGGGGTGTCTTGTTCCTTTGGGGGTGTCATAATGTCTTCCTTGCTCTTGTTTCCTCGGTTTCTGCATTTGTTGCTTGGCATTATGGAGATATTCTCTGATTCTTCTTCCCTTGCTGGTGTTTTTTCTTGTTATTCTATGACTGTATTAAGTGGACTGTCTGCTTTTGATGGAGCCTTAGAGGCTTGAGATGGGTGTGGCCTGAGAGCTCTGTTTGGTTCCTCAAGGTTAAGGGTGTGCCAAAGGTGACACTCTCAGGTTAGGCGTGGTAAACCTCTCTCTCTTTCTTTCTTTCTTTTTCTTTTTTTCTTTTTTCTTTTTTTTTTTTTTTTGATTCAGAAGGGAAGGAGGTACCTTTCTCTGAAGGGAGGAGAGAACTTCCACTTTGACTATGACCCTGTCAGAATAAGATCAAAGTCGGCGAACTCAAAAGGCTTCCATAGCCTACTGACGCCATAAACAAGAGTGTCAAATTGTTAAGTCAACAACAGGAGTCACTGTGTACTTATTTCTCGTGTGGGATCTGTCCTTAATGTGTTGTCCAATGTGAAGTAATGCTATAACTAGTACTCAAACAGTATTTTACACTTTGTGTTTCTGTGTGGTGCAAACTGATGAAATCTTTACTTAATATATACTAAATCGATCTTCTGTATATAAAGATAATTGAAAATGAATCTTGATGTGAATGGAATGGGAGAGGGAGCAGGAGATGGGAGGGGTGCAAGTGGGAGGGAAATTATGGGGGGGGGAAGCCATTGTAATCCATAAACTGTACTTTGGAAATTTATATTTACTAAATAAGTTAAAAAAAAAAGAATTGGGGCCAAGGACCATTGGGACAATTTTTCTCACAATTAAATTAGATTTACACAGCCTTTTAAGAATCTCTGTGTCTGTAGAAACCACAAATGGCTTCATTTTATAATCTAAATTTCCTGAGTTACTCCCCTATTTAATTTTTCTTGTATCTTCTTTCAACTTTATTACCTGATCAAGGTGGATGAAATTCTAATAGCCATATACAGGTGACTTAATAGCTTGATTGAATTCAACTAATGTATTCACTGCTTGAATCTATTATGAATCATTTGCATATTCATTATATGTGACAGAGCCAAATGCAAAGATGCGTGAATAGCATTTTATCCTACTTGAGAGACAAGTTGCTTATCTCATCTCTCTGAGCAGTCAGAGTTCTTATGTCAACATGAGAGAAAACCCTTGTTTTTTTCTGGAAAGCCCTTGAAAATGACTGCTATGTAAGTTTCCTATCGTTGGAAAACTATCCTTGTAGTAACACACCAAACTTGCCCATTCTTGGCTCATGGCCTTGTTTGAGAGAATTAGTGCTCCAGAAATATGTTTGTGCTACCCTCTAGTGGCAGTTTTATGCAAATTGGAGAAATTTGGTTAGAGGTAAATTAAATTTTATAATTAATGGGAAGCACTGGAAAAAATGACTAAGTTTATGAAGCTCATATATACAGAACCTAATTTTATCTTTGAAATATAATTTCCTAAATATATACATATATATTCTACAACAAATGTGTTTTTATTGTGGTTTTAAAATTCCAACTGTGGAGTCATATCAGCAATTGCCTGAAGGAAGTGCTATACACTTAGGTAGCCAGTATGAATGGCACAGTAACAAACTTGAGTTTTTTAGATTTGTAATTAAATATATAACTCTGAGCAATATTTCACTGACATATAACTTACACTTAAATCAATTCTAAATGTCAAATGCTTGTGTTTTGATCATCAATATCCAAAGATGGCCACCAAAGCTTTAAAACAGTGTTCTGGAAAATTTTTACACCAAAACATTAACAGATGTAGACTGTTTCTTCAGTAGTATTAAAGGTAATTCAATGCTTCAACATAAAATAAGAAAACATGACTTGTTATAAAAAAAAGTGCATGAAAAAAATGAACAAAACTGTTACTTTGCATTATTGACAAAATTGCAGTTATTTATGAGCAACATTAAACAAGATATTAAAATAACAGGAATGTTTTTTCCATTAGATATTGCGTACCATCTCTCATTAAGAAAGGAGTGCCTCTGGGATCTAGTTTACCTTCTGTCACTGAAAGCGATGAAGCTGCAACCACAAGCCAGCAGGACTTGAGTCAAATAACAGGAGCTATGTCTCAGGTAACTCTGTTACTCTTAAACTTGACCCAAACCTTGATTATAGAAAACTTTTTTCTTAAACTTTGAAATATATTAAACATATAAAATAATGTGTAACATGCATCTGAGCACTATAAGGAATGTTATTAAAATAAATACCTTTGAGGTGAGCATTTGCCATAGTGGTTAACACAGCCCTTGGAATGCCTATGAAAATATTCCATATTTGACTGCCTGACTTTGAGCCCCAATTCATTCAAGTCCTAAGTCCAGTTTCCTGCTAATGTGTATCCTGAGAAACAACAGGTGATGGCTCAAGAATTTGGATTCCTGTCACACTTATAGGAGACGTGGATAAGTGTTCCTGGCTTCAGACTCAACCTGTCACAACCATGGCTATATGTAGGTATTTGGGTAGTGAACCAGCATATAGGCAATCTCTCAGTGTGCTTCGCAGCTGCTCAAAATAAAAAACAAATAAATAAGTAAATAACAATTTTTAAAGTAAGTGTATTAAGTATCTATAATGTAGTTACCAAATGCAATATTCCTCTGCAGTACACTCCCCTGTGTATCTCTTCTAGTTGTATTTCCTCTTTCAGATGTTTATATTAATCAGCTCCATACATTTTTCTAATTTTTCCAATTACGTGTATCATGTATTTGTAAATAATATATAGCTTGATTTAATTTGTACATAATTTTAGTAGACTCTTAGTGTATTAATTCTTCTGTATCTTCTTTGACTTACATCATATTTGTAAGATTCAAGTCATTTTTGCATGTTAGAGTTTTTAATTTTACTGGCTTATGGTATGTATTATATAACCATACTGCAATTATTTTTATCAGTCACAGTGTGATATCTGTACTCATCCTTTCTTACCATTGCAAACAATGTTACTGTGGTGTTTCTTTTTTTTTTATTTTTATTTTTTGACAGGCAGAGTGGACAGTGAGAGAGAGAGACAGAGAGAAAGGTCTTCCTTTGCCGTAGGTTCACCCTCCAATGGCCGCCGCGGCCAGCGCGCTGTGGCCGACACACCACACTGATCCAAAAGCAGGAGCCAGATGCTTCTCCTGGTCTCCCATGCGAGTGCAGGGCCCAAGCACCTGGGCCATCCTCCAGTGCACTCCCTGGCCACAGCAGAGAGCTGGCCTGGAAGAGGGGGAACCTAGTGAGCCGCGGCGCTGGCTGTGGTGTTTCTTAAATGTTCCCTCTACACGTGTGTCAGAGTTTCTTTAGTTTTGGGACTGATTATCTTTTATGTGTGTGCTACAGCCTCCTTTGACAATGTTGTAAAATTTCTAACACCAATAAGGACAATTAATCTATTTTTGCATATTGTAATACAGCTGTCTGGGCTAGCACTGTGAAAACAGGTAGCTTCACTATTTCATGGTTGAATGACTACCAAGCATAGTCATCAGTTGGCCAACTACAGGTCACAGGACTATATATAGACAGGAAGACACAATCACATGAAATATGACAATGATCCTAATAACTGCTGTAATTTCAAGATAATGACGAGCATATATGACCATTTAAGATGTTTACCATTTAACATAATGTAAAATACTACGATTTATTTTATTGATAGGTCCCTCAGTTATTGCTAATAACATTATGGCTACTTGCATAGACTGATAATTGATAATTGACAAAAATATTGAATTTCAGTTAAAGAGGTAATTTTAAATAAATCCATGTTAATATTTTCCAAAAAAAAAAATCTAACTGTGGGCCCCAGAGGACAGTTGGTTCAGAAACCATAAACCTTGCCTTCAGATATGACTCTCATACTATAGCTGATAGATCATAGGGCATCTGACTGTTTAACCTTACACCAAGATGTCAAATATTTCTCCAAGATGTGTCAAGGCTCTTTCTTGTCAGCATTATCTGAAAATTTTCTTTGCTTAACATCCAGGTCAATATTTAATGTTCCATTATATTTGACAACATGGTAGATGTAAAAGAATATTTTATTTTTTAAATAGGTAGTATAGCACTATATTCAAAAGTAAAAATCTAAAGCACAAATATAGAATTGCTACTTTGCATGTGCCTCTCCATTCTGTTTTGCTGTTCTGGCCTCTGTAGAAGACTTCCAAGATTTCTTTAGGTAATTGGAGAGAATCACATCACATACTACATTACATGATCTCCTCTTTTTCTACTCAAAATTTAATTTTTTTATTTTTTAAAATACTTAATATGTTCTGGAGATTTTAATATATACTTGAAGAATGACTTCATTCTTAATGTAGCATATTAATTCATTGTGTGATGAACCATAGGTACTAACATCTCTGGATGGACTCTTGAGGTTTTTTTCCAATTTTTTGCTATTATAAATAATTATGTCATAAATGAATTTGTACATGTGGTGGAATTGTTTGGTCAATAATTTTTGAGGAATCTCCACACTGTTTTCCACAGTGGCTGCACCATTCTTTCTTTTCACTAACAACATAAAGTTTCCCTTTCTCCACATCCCCAAAACACTGTCTCACAGTAACTCTGAATTCATATGGAGAGATTTCCTATTCAATTTCTCCAGTTCAGGCAATTTTCAATGTCCTGTTTATGCAGGATTGGTTTCTGAACCAGAAGGCTGTATCTCATTATGTCCTCCTCAGATGTCTGTCAAATGTTTCTAGAGTGCTAAGGCCTAAGTAGGATTGCTCTAACTAGAACTTGGTGGTCAGTTATCTCTGCTCTGCTTTCTCCTCCATATGCTAAATGTTGTCCAATATAATTTCTGACATCACTTGTCATCATTCTGTATGAATTTGTACCATTTTATCTTTTATACTTAAATTAATAGAGTTCCAGAGAATCTAAAGTTTTATTCACAAATTCACCATAATTTCCTGGTTAGAAGTTTCAGGAACCATTTTTGTCATTGAAAGCATACTTTCTGGGTTCTATACAATAACGAAGAATCATGGTCTCTTAATTTCTCTGTTACTGACAGGTACCTCAATGCCAAGTAAAATCCCATTGTTTTAATTTAACTTTTGTTACGAGTCAATCATTTAGTGCATTCATATACTCTGTATTTTTGTTTTTAAAGATTTTATTTATTTTATTTGAGAGGTAGACTTACATACAGTGAGAGGGAGAGACAGAGAGAGAGGTCTTCCTTCCATTGGTTCACTCTCCAAATGACTGCAACGGCTGGAGATGCGCCAATCCGAAGTCAGGAGCCAAGCGCTTCTTCCTGGCCTCCCACATGGGTGCAAGGGCCCAAAGACTTGGGCCATCTTTTGCTATCTCAGGCCATATCAGAGAGCTGAATTGGAAGTGGAGCAATGGGATCTAGAGCCAGCGCCTATATGGGATGCTGGCACTGCAAGCAGAGGATTAACCCACTGCTCCACGGCACCGGCCCTATTCTGTGTTTTAACATCATAAAGTTAAATCTCAATCCAATATTTAATTAGGTTCACATATTTTTAATTTGAATCTGTTTACTTTATGTTAGTAAGTTTTCCCAGGAACTGTGTTTTCGATGCTTAAACAAACATTGAAAGACTTGGGCACTTTAAATAGCACTTTAAATGTTTTGTTGAATTCAAAACAGTTTCTTAACACTTTCTTTTTATTTCATAGGGTACTTTTCCATCACTGGTTATATTAGGAAAAGGTAAATCAACAATATTCTTGTGACTTTTTTAATGAACATCAAAGAACACAGGAGTCCCTCCCTCTTCCTGGCTTTTGGAAGAATCTCTTCAGAATCCCCATTGGTTTGTTGACTGTAATATGTAATGAACTAGGAAAAAAAGTAACTTCACTTGTTAAACTCAAAGTTAAGACAAAATATAAAAATAAAAAGAATCTGGCTAAAGACCATAGTAATATTTGCATACTTAAATATATGTACACCATGATCAAAGTACTGAAACCATTACAGATTTTCTAGTTCTTGAACACAGACTTGATCAAAGCTCAAATGTGTGGCATATGTATATATAAAATTTTGTTTTCTGTACTGTATAAGAGTTTTTATATTACTTGGTTAATATAAAATAAGGCTACAGAATGACTGACTACAGGCAGAAATTAAATAGTTTACTGGCCTACATTTGTTGGGGTATATCTCTCAATTTGTCATTTCCTCTCTGGTGTCTGAGCCGTCTCCTCATATATAAATATGTCTGGCTATTGCAGACATATTAAGCATATTAAGCACATATTAAGCACATAAGCTGGGTCATTTCTCTTGTAACTTCACAAACTCTAAAGAACATGTGCACAACTTTATCCAAGTGGTTTCAAAATTCCTGAACACTAGTGTTCATGATACTTGATAGACTTCTCCGAAGTGTACAAAACGTGTCTCTGTGGGGACATCTGCACATTTGAGACCTGCATGTAAATTATTATTTCAGCAAATATTTCTCCAATAATAAACTTAGAACCCCCTCGTAGTTTTTTTTTTTTTTTGTATTTTTATAATTTACTCTTTAACCAGATAATCTGTGTTTGTCTTCTACTTTGCACAGATGAGCAAACAGACCCTGGATTGAGTGATACTCATCAAACTAATGGATTGAGCTTGGAAAAAGATTTGGTCAGCCAGACAACAGCAACACAGGAAAAATCACTAGAAGAACTCATAACAATAAATACTTGTGTTTCCAAAGAAATATGGTTAGATTTTGAAGATTTCTGTGAATGCTTTCAGTAAGTTTCCAAAAGTTATCCATCTAACTATGTTGTAATGGCTAATCCTCAACTGCATTACTATGCAAACCACATCAGGGTTTATTAACCTGTATGTAACACTATGGTTATATAATCTATGAATTCTTAATTATCATTCAAAAAAGCTAAGCCATGTTACCTTTGTACTGACATAATAGCAAATAAAAATTCTAGAAGGTGAAACATAGATGCATTGATTATCCATATAGCACAATGGTAGTAAAACTTGTCTCAGGCTATTTCCAAGTTCTCCAAAGTATTGTTTGTTAGCAAAGAGGAAGGCAATTTATTTAATGACATGATTTGTGTCTCTTCAGGAAACATACTCAACATGGTTGTTATTTTTAAAAATGTTTTGCCTATAATTATGTAATTCCAAGTAACTTGACATGTGCACTAATCTTTGCATATAATAACAATAATGTGCTATAAATATTTTTCAGGAATATATATATTTTTCACAAGCCAAGTTCATACTGCCTTAACTTTCAAAAGTCAGAATTTAAGGTAAATATATTATAATCTCCTCTTTCCCTTTTTATACTTTTTTTCAATACAATTGAAATAGTGAGAAACAGCTTTAAATGTCTTAAGTATTTCTAAATTCATGACATATTTTTAAAATTAATTTTGAAATCCTTCTACTAATTCCTTATCCAGACCATAAGCAAAATTCTATGAGCTCCTAACTGAAACTATGATCCACCTGACTGTGTTGTAGTGGCTAAATCTGTAGCTGCATTGTTCAAATTCATATTAATAAAATTTTGATTTATGAATTAATAAAGGTACACAAAGAAGTTCCCTATATTTGGTTTTGTTTAGTATTTGCTAAATAGTGTGTATTTCCTAAAACATAAGTACATTTTCACCACCATGTCTGTGTTTTGGCTTTCTCTCTTTCTGGTTCTGTCACTGATTCTCTCTCTCTCTGCTCAAATTCTTCCCACTCCCTGCAGTGTCTTCTCTTTTATCCTTATGGCTTTACTCTAGCTAATGTCTAGAAGTACTTCAGAACAGTAAAGATATCCTTGGTTTTGTAAAGCCTTCTTCCCTGGTTGGTCAAGTGACTCGACCTCAGGCTCCTCTCTGTCTGCTCAATGCTCACCCAGGTACTGATTGCCCATCCCAACTGCCTGGTTGCTTCTCTGTGTCCTCCCTGTACCCTGTGCCCTGATTGGCATTAGCATCTTCAGAAGAACTGTGTCCTTTTGTTTACTATTGTGAGACCATTGTTGATGTAACATGGGATCTCAATTTAAAAAAAAAAAATTGTTAAATAAACTAATTAGAATCTCACCTTGGGTGGAATTTTAGAAATCACAGTGAAACATATTCTGGGAAACTGAATTGAACTGAAATTTGCCTGTTTAAGGCCAAGGACATCCAAGGCCTTTATTATATCCCACACCTCAATGAACAGTATGCATAGTGAGAGTTGCAGGTAGTCTTTGAAATGACTCCCATTGCACTTGTGACACATGAAAACACAGGCTCAGGAAACCTTTCCGGTCCAGCTCTCTGCTGTGGCCCCGGAGGGCAGTGGAGGATGGCCCAAGTGCTTGGGCCCCTGTACCCACATGGGAGACCAGGAGGAAGCTCCTGTCTCCTGGCTTTGGATCGGCATAGCTCTGCCCGTTTGAGGGGTGAACCAATGGAAGGAAGACCTTTCTCTCTGTCTCTATCACTGTCTATCTATCAAATAAATAAAAAAAAAGAAAGAGAGATTGTATATAAGTTTTCATTATACATCATTATCCTAATATTTGTGTGTGTGGCAAAACAGAAAACTATTCTTTGTTCTGCTATTTTCATGAAATGATTTAAATGAAAGTTAATTTCTTCTTAAAGTCTCTTCTTGGCAAAGACACTCCCAAATGTGTCCTTCATTCCCCTTTGCTTCTTTAAACATTAATGGTTTGAGAAAAGTATAACTTTTCCCTAGTGGGCATTAGAACTCAAATTTAACGGTTTATGGATGGCCTGGGAGGAAGCAGTGGTGACAATTAGAGGCCAGGCAGTCTTGACTTACTATCTTGTGCTACCAACTAAGTTTGGGATACGGGGCCTGAGACTCACCCTTGGCAGGTTCCAGAGATCAGTGTGAGGATAGGGCAAGGCCAGTCAATGGTGTTGTGCTGGCACCAGGGCAGAGTCCTTTTGCCTTCTGCATTTCTGTCTTCAAAAATGACAACAAATGAACCCAGTGCAGAACCTTCTCGGGGTGCATGTTGGAGGAGCAAGTCCCAAATTCCCTTATCCTCTCAGCAAGTGAACATTGAAGCACCTGCCTGTATCACCAACATGTCTCAGCTGAAAGGCAACAAACGAACTGAAGTGTCAAAGGACTACTACTGGAAAGCAGTGTAGAAAGCAATAATTTATTTTATTTTTTTTAACTTTTATTTAATGAATATGAATTTCCAAAGTACAGCTTATGGATTACAATGGCTCCCCCCCCCATAAATTCCCTCCCACCCGCAACCCTCCCCTTTCCCACTCCCTCCCCCCTTCCATTCACATCAAGATTAATTTTCAATTCTCTTTATATACAGAAGATCAGTTTAGTATATATTAAGTAAAGATTTCAACAGTTTGTACCCACATAGAAACACAAAGTGAAAAATACTGTTTGAGTACTAGTTATAGCGTTAAATCACAATGTACAGCACATTAAGGACAGAGATCCTACATGAGGAGTAAATGCACAGTGACTACTGTTGTTGACTTAACAATTTGACACTCTTGTTTATGGCCTCAGTAATCACCCTAGGCTCTTGTCATGAGTCGCCAAGGCTATGGAAGCCTTTTGAGTTCATCAACTCTGAGCATATTTAGACAAGGTAGTAGTCAAAGTGGAAGTTCTCTCCTCCCTTCAGAGAAAGGTACCTCCTTCTTTGATGACCTGTTCTTTTCACTGGGATCTCACTCACGGAGATCTTTCATGTAGGGTGGTTTTTTTTTTTTTTTTTTTTTTTGCCGGAGTGTTTTGGCTTTCCATGCCTGTAATACTCTCATGGGCTTTACAGCCAGATCCGCGTGCCTTAAGGGCTGACTCTGAGGCTAGAGTGCTGTTTAAGACATCTGCCAATTAGTCATAATGATAGGACTAAGAGCCAAAGGGAACACATAAACAAGACTAGTGTCTGCAAATACTAGCTGATAGAATAAAAAAGGGAGAGAACGATCCAACATGGGAAGCGAGATACACAGCAGACCCATAGAAAGCAATAATTTTAAATAAGTTACATTGCACCAAACATTTTTGTTGCGGGTGATTAAATAATAAGGTTTCCTTTTTCATAACACTGTGTTAACATACATGATTTCTATTACAAATATTAACTGGTTATTTTAGTATTGTAGTAAAATAATATGTAAACCTTATTGAAGTATAGCAACAATTAAACGATTGAACACATTTAATGTATACCATAAATCAAAATCATGTTACACCATATTTGCGAGGCAATAAGCACAGCCCTCAAGAGCAGCTTTAGAGTCAAACATATACCTACTTCACATCTCAGCTTTGCTACTTACAAGTTCTGTGACTTTGAAAAATCACTTGACCTCTCCTTGCTTCAGTTTCTTCATTCATAATTGACTATATTAATAGTAATCAGAAGGATGAGTTGAAATCCTATATGTGTACATTTATCTGCTGTCACTTAAGGAAAATTATGCTTTCATTCAGAATTTCATTGCATCTTCAAACTAAAAATCCATCATCTGGTATATTAATGAGCAGCAAGTGTATTTCTGAAGATTGTTGGAAATAGGAGAGTTTATATCACATGCATCCCTGTAAAATACTTTATTATATGGATGTTTCAGAATATTGGGGAAATATAGAATAAAAAGATAAGTTTTGGTATGAAAATGTAGAATCCGTGCAGAGTTTCTTCATGAACTTTTTGAATATACTTCATGTGCAAGAGTTTCATATTTTTCTCGCACCAAAATGCTTATTTTATTTTGCAGTACACCCCATTAGACACATTCTTTATTTTTTAAGAAATATTTATTTATTTGAAAGACAGTGTTTTACAGAGAGGCAGAGAAAGAGAAAGAAAGAAAATGGCTTTCCATTCACTAGTTCAATCCCCAAATGGCCACATAGCCAGAGCTGTGCCAATCTGAAGCCAGGAGCCAGGAGCTTTTTCCAGGTCTCCCATACAGGGGCAGGGACCCAAGTACTTGGGCCGTCTTCTACTGCTTTCCCAAGCCATAGCAGAGAGCTAGATGGGAAGTAGCAGCCAGGACTCAAACCAGCGCCCATAAGGGATATGGCACCACAGGCAACAACTTTACTCACTATGCCAAAGCACCAACAGACACAGACTTTATTGTTTAAAGTTATTCTCTAAGACCTCACTGCCTATCAGGGACCTAGTCCCTGAGCACTCCTCAGTCCTGGACTCGGTCTCCTTCTCACTTTGTCATTTGTGGGGCATATATATCCTTTTCTTTCCTCATGAAAAATATCTTGGCCTCTTTAATACATGGTGGTCATCTCACAGAGGCTCTGCAGATCCAGCTTCTGTATAGACTATCACCAACATTCACCCAGTATGGTTTTCTTCCTATTATGAACCCATAGGTACTTATTTTGGTACACAGAGAGAATAAGTTTCTTACCAATGTAGGTATCATACAACATTATTATTAGAAGTGGAAAACAATACACATTTACATGTTAATTGGCTGATGCGGTGTATGATGGTTGGTCTGATTTCTTGCAGTTTTCAGAAGAACGTGTCTCCTACTATCTGTATGTGGACAGTCTTAAACCTATTGAACTACTTGTTTGCTTTTCAGCATTGGTACGCTGTGGGGAATCTGGAGGTAAGAGCACTGTGGAATTTATAGTCTTAATGCCTATGTAATGTCCAGGCCAGGAACATGAAATAAGGTTTTTAGACCCTGGAAATACTTCCCCCTCAGATCTTCTCTAGAGCCACACAGGGACACCAGTGCTGAATCCTCTGCTACTCTTACTCCCCAGGCACTGAAGATTCTGCGCCCGCTTGCTGCTCAGGACCTCTCGGTTGCAGACAGGTTACACCTATACATGTGGTCATCCGTGATTCTTTCAAAATCTATTGAATACCTTGAACTCCTTCTTCTCTGATTTGGCAAATCCAACGACCTTTCCCTTCACACCTTCTTGATCTCTGCTATAGTTTGGATGTGACTTGTCCCCTAAAGGTTCAAGTGCTATGGGATTGGTTCCCAAGTTATTGTGTTGAGGTGCTATAATCTTTAAGAAGGAATCTAGAGAGGGGTAATCAGGCTACTGAGATGGAGCAGCCAGGACAAGAACCAGTGCCCACACTGGCAGCATCCCACCCCACTATACCACAACACTGGCTATGGAGGTGCTGCCCTTGAAATGGATTAATACTGATTTGAAGAACTTAGTTCTCCCAAGAGTAGGTTGTCATAAAGAGATGTCCCCTCATGCACTTGGCCTGCTCTGCCCATGGCCCATTCCCATGGAACTTCTCTACCATGATGTGACAGACAGGGGAAAGCCCTTTGCAGGATGTCAGAACAATATCATTATTCCTCTAGAACTCTGAGCAAAATAAAACTCTTTCTATAAAGTACCCAGCATCAGATATTTTGCTATAGAAATAGAAAATGGACTAATGCAGCCCTCTGCTTTTGTGATTACCCTATAGACTCTAACCTTTACCAGTTACTGCCTCATGTCAGTCATCAATCATCTCCATTTCAAGTTCCCCATTCTCTGATTACCACCCATGGCTTCTCCAGTTCACTCTCTCTGAAATTATGTGCCTACAACTGACACTACCAGGACTTCCCTCCATCTATTCTGCCACTTTCTTTCTGCCCATCACTTTTCTCATGGCCATTTTCTCTCACTACCAACATAGTTTTTGTGACCCACCACTATGATTACATCCTTGTGTATACTCAACATACTTGCCCTTCTTACATTCATAAATTATATTCCTGGCTAAAATCCCAATATTGTTTAAACTCAACTCTGCACCTAACCTGTGGTTGAATCAGAGAAGCTGAATGTAATTCAAGAAAATACAAATATTCTGGCTAGCTTTGTTTTCATTAAGGAACATGACTCTCGATAAGATTCTTTAGCACTGCCACATTTTCTCATGGTCACTCATTCTCCTCTCATTCTCATGATGACTATTTAAGTCTCCCCCCCACCCCCTCCAAACCTTCAACTCCTTAGTCTCACTCATTCTTACCTGATGAACTTGCTTCTGAAAAGACAGCAGAAATCAGAAACAACTCATATCATCTTCCCACAATGAACTCTTTCAAGTTCTAGTCTGACTTCCTTTCTGTTCTGAGAGAAGGACTGACCCTGCTCCTGTGCAACCCCAACCTTTTTGCACACACACACACACACACACACACATTCTTTAATTCCCTGATCTGTTCTGTGAAAACATGTAGTTTTAGCTGGAATTAAAGTACCTGACACTGCAGGGTTCACTCAGTGTTTGCCGAATGTTTAACAGTGAATGCTTTGCCAGCATTGAGGGGCAGAACTTTATTTTCACCAAACTTTTCTCAATGCTTTGAATGGTACCTGGCATACAACAGGTGTATAATAAGTACTTGGTACATAATGAACTTTCCAAAATGTCGTGATCTAGGCTTAGTATGTCTACAAAACCTGTAGCTTCCAAGTCACAGCAGTTCCTATAGCACCTAACTTCTATATGCATGAAGGCATTTCAGGCCATGTTGCAGCTTTATAGCCTCAGTGTAAGTGTTTTCTCGAAGCAGAGCAGTAAGTATTTAGCCCTCAGTGACTAGTAAAGACAATACAATATGTTCTTTATTCACCTTAGAAGAAAAAATATTTTGAATTAAGTCTTGTTAATTTTCAACGTCTTCATAAAGTCAAAGACTCTGAGAACCAAAGATTAAAATTTAGATACATGAGGGCAGATTTTGATCCATTTTGACATTTATAGTAAAGAAATCTCTTTCCAAAGTATAATGTGTTTTATTTTTTAAAATTTTATCTTTAGTGGTGAGTATTTGGCCCGGTGTCTAAGATGCCAGTTAAGACATTACATCCCACATTAGAGTACATGGATTCGATATTTGCCTCTGGCTCCTAACTCCTCTTCCTACAATGTGCACCCTAGGAGACATTAGTGGTAGCTCAAGTATTTGGGTCCCTGTCTCCCATGTGGGAGACCTGGATTGAGTTTCCAACTGTCAGCCTCAGTCTACCCTAGTACTAGCTGTTGTGGGAATTTGAGGAATAAACTGGCAGATGGAAGGGAGCCCTATTTAGGAAGTAAATGAGCAAGGGGGAGCCCTTGCTCCCTCCTCCCTCAAATTAATTAAGTAATTAATTTTTATAAGTACCTTTAAAGATACTGTAGTTAATAAGAATGCTGATATACTACATGAAATACTAAAATGAAATATACTTTTTTCCTGATTTCCTCATTCTGAGTTTCTTTACTGGAGTTAATGATTATTAGAAGGCAAATGAAACCAATCGACATATCTGGAATTCACTTAAACATTATTTCCAATAATTACTTACATGAAATAATTCCTGGATTTTTATGAATATTTTAGTACATCTTTAACTCATTGCTTATTATTGTTTTTGTTACTGTTATTATTTTCTTTGTGTTGTTATTGGAATAAAGGCAGTGTAAATGAAAACTAGATACATTTCACACTCAAATTATAGTATTTTTTTTTTTCACTTTTCCTGAAGCCCTAACAAAACACAGTCCTCCTATCGAGCCTGGACTTCTAATAGGTGAAACATTTTCCTGGAAATCTTTGAAGCCACGCACACTTGTACTGAAGATCCACACATATGCCACCAAGGCTGCAATGATCCGTCTGCCTATTGGGTATGGAGAGACTTCATTTTTCCCATACTATGAATTTTTTGAAGGCTTGTAAAATGCTAACTAATGAAGAAGTGAAAAATATGAACACTGGGGCACTGTTTCCCAAGGCACAGGTCTATAACTGTGATTATTGAGAAAAATAATTCTGTGAACAAATAAATTGATAAATACTGCACACTGAGTGCAAAATTTATTTTCATCAAAGATTCTTAGAATTGTGAATAAAGAATACTGTTTAGACTTATTTAATTCAGAAGCTTCTGAGAATAGCTTATTAAATAATTTATTTTATCTTCCCATAAATATATAGTCCTTTCATGAATTTCAATTTCATTAAAATTTCAATTGAGAAGCATAGAAGTCTAGCATCTCCCCATACCAATCTAGAATTATACCTGTGGTTTGTTTTTGTTAGATATTATTTTAATCAAGTTGAAGCTGACTAAACACCTGAATTTCCATTTAAAAGAACTATGTAATGAAAATGTGTTCTTGATTTTGTTAAAGAAAAATCAAAATAACATGGCTTACCTCAATGAAATAATTTCCACTGGGTTTTTTTCCCAAGTTCAATCATTCTAATTCAGTATGGTGATTGAAACACTATGACTTTTGTGTAAAAAGCAAAGCCCAAAAAGCAAAATCAAATGGTAAAATAATAATTGGCAAGCATCCAATATTTCTGGAATGTTGTAAATTGTAAAACTTCAACATTTCTCACAACTGCCCTCAACTCTGGCAGGGAGAGATTCTCCTAGTATTCAAGTTGCTTTGTAGAGATGCTTATTCATTGACAGCAAAAGACTTGGAATTAGTGAAGAATCTTCTTAAATCCACATGGTGCCCAATAAAATATAGCTTCTCAATAGGCATACAGACATCAGCGTGTATGTTTTGTCATGCTCTACATGTTCAATAACTAAGGGGAAGTAGATATCTCTGTTTCAAAGATATTATAATCTAGTAGGAGAGACACAATTAACACATAAGAAATAATGCATTTTAAGAAAAAGACTATATTATCTAAAATACCTGTACCCTCATGATATAGTCACAATGTGACCGCTGTGTGTAGGAGCAATCTCCAGCATGTGCGAGGTTGTAGTCTAATCTATTTGTTGTTTCATTAAATTAGTAAAATATAGATTCCTAAGTCTCTTAGGGTTCTTTAAGAGTAAAAATTCAAAGACCTGTGTCCTATCTGTGTGAGAATGATCAATTCTTCCCTAACCTTGGGCTTAGATTGAGTCCCAAACTGTCATAAAGCAACTACGGGGGCAATTACAATAAAGGCAACCTTTGGTCTTTACCAAATGTCCTTCTCTTTAGGAGACACATGCTACTGTTCACTGCATATTCCCCAGTGGGCCATTCCATACACATCTGCAGCATGGTGACCTTTGTTGTTGGGGATGAAGATGTTGTGATGCCCAACTTTGAGCCGGTAAATATGTTAGCAACTGTGATATTTTTTTATTTCAAAGGTTTTAAAATAAATCCTGCTTCTGTTTTCTATTCAACTTGCTCTCCTCTTATGTTTAACCTTTAAAGCTATAGAGTATATTCCAAAAGTAATGCTCAAGTACAACCTGTACAATTAACTGTCTAAACCCTAAGGGGACATAATTAATAGCATTTTTCCCTCTAAAACCAGCTTCACTTCTACTCTGTTGAATGCCCTTTTATATCTGTTACCATCTCAGGTAGAGCCCACAGTATCATTGGTCCTTTGAGGTACAAAGGATCAGCACAGTTCTTTTTTAATATAGTCTATAGTTTGGATCTGTTTCTCTTTTTCATCCCTTGGTTGGCCTAAGGAATTTATAGCCTGTATATCCAGGATTCAGAGGGCAAAGGGTGGCCCACAAAAGCTGCAGCTGTGTCTCCTTCATGTCTTCTGTCTTCCAGATCTCTTTTTGGTTTCTCGCACTCCTCTGCTCTGGTGGAGTCTGAAAGGAGTAAATTAAATGGGGCCAGCATCTGCTGAAGTCTTTCTCCAATGAGCAATTGGAGGAAGACTTGCTCTAACCGCACCTCACTGAAAAAGCAAACCAAACTAAAACAAAACAAAACCAACTCCAAGTGGCACGGTGCTGTATTGATGGATTCTGCAAGCCACCTGGCAAATCATGTAGCAACGAGATGGCTTAAGACCAGCTCCCGTACGCTGTGTCCTCGTGCTCCACACTTGCCCTATGCAAGCACTCTTGTTTGGGCATTGGCTGTGGCTGATTGCCTCTTCTCAGTTCTGTGCCATCTCTCTTCATTTCTTTTTCCTTCCTGCTTAACAGGCAGAGGGGAAACACCAGCAAATCCACCTTATATGCAGATGTCTTCTATTTCCTTAAATAAGTTTACCCTGTTTTCTTCACATTCTTGTATTTTTAAAAACAACTGCTTTTTAGATGGTATACATTATCCAATTTGATGAGATTTAGCACCCCAGGTGTTTTCTTTCTTTGCTTTGTGAATTCCTATTTCCCTGGAGATTTCACTTCTCTATATTGGCAAGATTATTGAGGCTCAAACATAAGCCCCATTGTTCTTTGATCCTAACAAAGAAATGAAGCGGGGTAGACTGGACAAGAGCAGAGAGACTCCATCTCCTTTAGAGCCATAGTGGTTGCTGTCAGTGTTGCCACTGGACCAGAACTTTTGTGGTTATGATTTCACCTAAAGAAGTAACACCACTAGGCTTGCATTTAGAAGGCTCATAAAGAAGGAATTCATTAAAGTTGCAAGTCAGCTGCATCTGTTCTCATCAGCCCCTCACCGCAGCAGGGCATCAGTGCCATTTGGGCACACTTGCTGGGTCATTCTTCAGTGTTTTTGCAGGGAACAATGCAATGATTGTACCATGGCATCCCTGGGGAAGAGGCAAAGCCAGACTTACAAAAGATTTCCTCCAGCTTTGCCTCCTTTTTCTGATCCAGGCAACTCCCCATATTTCCCACCGCATTCTACCAAGATAATTTTTATGCGCCCCAGCTTCTTCTTCTATTTTTTAAATGAGTTACTAGCTGAAATCTCTGCCTCCTTCTAGCTTCAGCTGTCTGTCTCCTCTGGAAGGAACTAGCAGCCCATGCTAGCTCATCCTCTTGTTTCTCCAGTCCTTACTGCTCTTTTTTTTTTTTTTTAATTTGACAAGTAGAGTTATAGACAGAGAGAGAGAGAAAAAGGTCTTCTTTCTATTGGTTCACTCCCCAAATGGCCACCACGGCCGGCACTGAGCTGATATGAAGCCAGGAGCCGGGTGCTTCTTCCTGGTCTCCCATGCGAGTGCGGGGCCCAAGCACTTGGGCCATTCTCCACTGCCTTCCCAGGCCGTAGCAGAGAGCTGGACTGGAAGAGGAGCAACCGGGACTAGAACCCGGCACATATATGGAATACCAGTGCCACAGGCGGAGGATTAACCAAGTGAGCCACAGCGCTGGCCCCTTACTGCTCTTTTCCTGAAATCCTCTCTGACCTCAATCCTCGAAGAGACCCTCATGGAGACACTCAGAACTAAGTAAGAATAGGAACACTGTGGGAAAATTTCCCTGACTCACAGTAGAACGTATGTAATCCTCCTGTATGTTCCCACCTGAATAGTAACTGAGTTCCTTGTTCTGTTATCTCTGAGACCGTAGCACCTAGTAAAATGCCTTGGTTAAGCAAGCCCTCAAGGGTCAGCTGTTTGGCCCAGGAGTTAAGACCCTGAATCTTCTATTGGAGTACTTGAGTTAAATATCCATCTTCAGCTCCCACCTCCAGGTTTCTGCTAATACAGACCCTGGGAGGCTGCAGCCATGGCCCAGGTCATTGGGTCCCTGCCACCCATGTGGGAGACTGGGTTGAGTTCCCCACTCTGGGCTGTCCCCAGCCCAGCCCCATCTGTTGCAGGCATATGGTTTGTGAACCAGTGGTCTCCCTCTCCCCTGCTCCAACCCCATTATCTCTGCCTCTCAAATAAAATAGTTGTTTGATTTCTTTAAGTAAATCACAAACAATGATTGAATCAACCACTTGCTAGGGGTTGAATATTCACACAGAAATTTTCCTTTTTCATAAATTTCATCCCAGTTTGAACATAAATGAAGGTTGCTGCTATGCTTTGTCTTCCCAGGAGAGCTACCGCTTTACTGAACAGGCTCTAACAATTCTGAAAGCTGTGGGAAATGTGATCTCTAGTTTCAAAGACAAGACTAAACTTCCTGTAGCCTTGAAAGAGCTGCAAGCTGCTCACTACCCCATTCCCCTCCACAATAAAGAGCTCACCGCACAGCACTTCAGGGTAAGCATCTCCTGGGTATGAAGTGCCTAGGAGGAGACATTCTGTTTGAAATAGCATATCTTATTTCAGGTGACCACCAAAAGCTGAGCCTGAGAAAATGCTTTGGAGCAAGACAGTATAGTGGGAAGTGGTTTCAAAATGAAGTTAGGGAGTGAGGTGAATAAAATGAAGGAGAAAAAAAAAATCCTTGAAGGATGTGATCATTACTGCAGTGGGCCACCGGGACTCCATCACCTAGGCAGCTGAATATACTACAGGATGCTCCCCAGCGGGTCACCCTGACAGATGACGGGGAGACCTTGGTACTTCTCCACCAAGCCTTTCCCGCACTGAGAGATGCATGCCCTCAGGGGCTTTCAATTCCTTTCCTCACACTTATGGGTGCCTCTGCCAGGGGTGAGTAGCCCTCTGGCTCCACAGACAATGTTGAGAAAGTGAATCGCAGAGACTGACAACAGGTGTGATCCTATCCACCACAGCCATGGTAGAAACAGGTGGGTATAGATCTGGATTTTTTTAACCTCCACACCAGGGCCATTTAAAGCCGGAGAATTTTGTCATAGGACTGTCTCCCGCAATGTAAGGTGTTTAAAAGCCACTCTGTCTTCACCATCTAGATGCCAATAGCATCCAGTTGTTCCAACTGGAAATGACTTCAGACATTGCCAGATGTTTCTTGGTGGTAGAGGGACAGAGTTACCATTGCCAGATTTAGTAAATAAAAATATACCACATCCAGTTAAATTTTAATTTTCATGCAAACAAGCAACACATGTCATATTTAGGACCTACTTTTACCAAAAACTTATACTAAAATTCATTTTATATCTTATTCAAATTTAACTGAATATGGGTGTTATTGGAGATACATATTTAAAAAAATTCATTTCCCTACCTAGAAGATTATTCACAGAGGTAGAAGAGGAAAAGAACAGTTTTACTGCTGAGGAAACATTAAGCCAGAATGCAATGCACTCAGCTAAGAGGTTACAAAGACAGAAAGAAATCTCACACTTTTATATAGCTAAGGAATTGCAACCCATTACATATACACTCTCAAGATAAACAATAACTAGTCCTCAAGAAAAAGAACTTGATAGCACCATTTGTGAAAAATAGTTCATAGATGGTCCCAGATGCATGAGAAAAACCTTTCTGGGTTGTAAAACTGGCAAAAGGCTTATGTGGCTTCCAAAGAATTTTATGTACATTTTTAAGAATTTAACAATGTTAAGATTTCTAAAGTAAATATTGTAAGAAAAAAGGGGGTTGTGGGTTTCAGTCTCTCATTTTCCACAGAGAGAATTCAGTTTCTTATTTTTATTTTGTACCTACCCTTACAACTTCCTATGTTGTACCTGGCAACCTTAGTACGGAGCAAGGAGAGCAGGGAAAAGCACCCCCAGTTGAGAACTGCTCACCCAGGACATGAGTGTTATACAAGAAATATTTGCCAAGACCCACCTCAAGGGCCAGCCTACTTAAGACGCTACCACCACCACCCCCAGAAAAAGTAAAGTCTGTCATTCATCAGTTCAAGGTGGTAGCTGATCAGCTCTAAAATCAAACAAATAAATGATTAATTCACCGTGTGAAAAGAAGTCTATTGTTTCCACTGATACCCAGAAGCCACGATTGGTGTTTTACATCTCCCCCCCTACCATCCATTCTAGATCTTTCTCCAGCTATCACTTCTAGCTGCTTGTCTGGAGGGTGATACACACCTTCAGTCCTGATGGATACAAGACCTTGGTTGCCATTTTCTGACATGACACGGTTGCTACAATTGTACATTCACTGCAGAAGTACCAAGAAATAGCCTAGCAAGTTCCAGACAAAGTTCCCCTGACTGTTAAGTAGTAGGTATCCTAATAGTTCATGACAACCAACATGAATTTTCTTCCTAATCCATTATATCAATTCCCAAAGCAACCTGGCCTGTGTTCTGGCCTACTATTACTGTAAATCATACTGCATTCTCTGGGGAAAACATCTCTTGGGTCCCACCCCCAAGAATCCAGCCCTCCAATCCAGCAAACCCTTGTGGTGAGGAATGCAGCACAGATTATGTAAATGGGTCATTGCAAATGATAGGAAGAGAGGCCAATCCTCCTTTCAAGTTTTGAATTCCATGCCTAAATGTTTTACCTTCGCAGATACAGCACCACAAATGGGCCTTTGATTCAGCAGATGCACACCACAGGTGTCATTTCATATCTTAGCTCAGCCCTTCATGTGCCATTCCAATCTAGCAGGAATTTTGTCAATTCTGTCTCTGGTAAATGTTAGGCCAATGGACCCTAGACTATTTCCAATGGTTAAATCCTCACTGGATAATATGTTCCTTAGTATGTTAAACTGGGTCCCATATCTGCCATATATATTTCTGGAACCTCCTGGATAATGATGCTGGTAGAGATACAGAGACACAGAAAACAAATTCCTATCTCCAGTGAGCGTGAATTCTAGTAATGGTGAATCATTCGCACCTTGCTAGAAGTCCACTGAAATCAACCTGTCCCCAAGTGACTGGCTGGCCTCCTCCAAGGATGGAACCATATCAAATGATCAGAGCCCGGTTCTGTCCTGGGCAGGTTAGGCCATTGAGCCTGGGTGACCGAGAGTCTGTACTGTTGGGCCCATGCATAGTCTCATCCCTGCTGCCAAGATTTTGCTGTGCCAAGGCCTTTTGTGACTACCCCTGATTTGATATGTAAGGAGCCTTTGTACCTGCAACACTTAGACTCAAGAGAGCTATTTTAGTAACAAAACATCTCCTTTTTTATCTTGAATTAACACAGCTATGTGGCATCTGAAGTGAAATCTTTGTCTAAATACATCTAAAAGGGCTTTTTCAGTGCAAAGAAAATACTCCTTAATGGTAAGAAAGTCAGGCAAAGCCCTTACATTTTTTCCTTTAATTTTGTAGCATATGAAATACGCTGGAATTGATAGAAAATGTTATTTCACTTAAGCATAAGGATCACATTTTAATTTTGTCCTCTATCTCTTCAGCCAGCTTAACATTATATTTTGGCTGATGTGTATTGTACGTATTGTTGTTGTGACTCAATTTTACAAATTAGAAATACTCAAATGATGATTTTGGTCCCTTTCTGGGTGAGTCAGACTTCAGAGAGTCTTCTGTTAGATTGTGTGTCTATCTGAAAGCAATTTTCTTTAATGTACCAAAAATTTTTAGAGCCTCCCTTGTCAAGTCTTGATATTTTCTTAGTTAAAGCATAAATGTATTCTTTTTTTAGGTATTTCATATTTCCTTATGGCAGTTAATGAAAAAGGCTCAATTAACAAAACCTCCTGCAAACTTCAAATTTGCATTCCGTGCTATGGTTTTGGACGTGGAGTTACTTGATTCCTCCTTGGAAGAGGTTTCTTTAGGTATTGATCAATCTTAGATATTTGACTGAAAAACAATTTGAGAATAGTGTTCTTGAAGTTTGTGTGAGCAGGTGGAACGTGTTTGTTTGGATACTCATGGGGTTTAAGCTGTGCTCAGGGAAGCTCAAGGAGCTTCAGGGATCTGCTGATGATCCCCTACTCTGATCCCTACCACACATATTTCCCAAGTAGCCCAGAATTTATTCCTAACCTTAACAAACAGGAATGTCACTGATCTGTATGGTGCAATTGAGGAATTTTGGAAAGATTTTCTATCCCACTAACCCGACTTGCCTCCTCTCCATGATCTGTCTCTGTTCCTACCATTTTAACATTTTCTTTCATTTTTTTATTTTTTATTTTTTTGGCAGGCAGAGTTAGACAGTGAGAGAGAGAGAGACAGAGAAAAAAGTCTTCTTTTTTCTGTTGGTTCACCCCCAAGTAGCCGCTACGGATGGTGCATTGTGGCCGGCACATTGTGTTGATCCAAAGCCAGGAGCCAGTGCTTCCTCCTGGTCTCCCATGTGGGTGCAGGGCCCAAGGGCCTGGGCCATCCTCCACTGCACTCCTGGGCCACAGCAGAGAGCTGGACTGGAAGAGGAGCATCCGGGACAGAATCTGGCGCCCCAACCAGGACTAGAACTGCTGGGGTGCCGGCGTCACAGGTCGAGGATTAGCCTAGTGAGCTGCGGTGCCGGCCCATTTCCCTTCATTTTTGAGAGAAACTTGGATAATTTTTATAGAACAGTTTTTAAATAAGATGTCAATGTTTCATATGCTTCCCTTCCACAGAGTGTTTTCATTCTAAAAAGCACACTGAGTGATGCTGAAAATAGAGTTTTCCCTCTGAATCCATGGAGGAAGTGGATACAGGACCCCCATGGATATCACAATCTGTGGATACTAAAGTTCATAGTATTTGCATACAGCCTACCCATACCTTCTCATATACTTTGAACCATTTATAGATTATGATACCAGTTACAGTGTAAATTCTGCATAAAGAGTTGTACACTGTATTATTTGGGGAATAATGATGAGAAAAACCTGTACCTGTTCTATATGGACACATTTTTTTCCATGAGCACTTGGTTGATTCTGTGGATGTGTAATGAGTGAATATGGAGGAATTACTGTAGTGCTGCATCTATCATTGTAGCATTTCATATATCAGAGGGCGGAGGCACTGAAACTTGGAAGAATGGTTAAATATAACTTTAAGTCCAGAGTTTGCTTTCATCTTTCCAGCGGAATGGATGGATGTGAAATATTCTATGCCAACCAATGAGAGAGAGTATTCTCCTGAGGAAGTATCAGCTGCAATTAAAATCCAAGCCATGTGGAGAGGGTCTTACCTTAGATCACTTCTGAAAGCCAGAACACCAGGTACAATTTTCCAATCATTTATAAAATAAACTATGTCTATAATAATAAATATGTATGTGTGCTAATGAAAATATTAATACAGTTAATTAGTTTTAGTTCTAAAAATACTGAAATTCTCAGAAGTCAAGAAGTTTGTCAACAGAAAATTTCATATTCTCAGCTTTAGCACAATGTCTGACACATGGTTAACACCCAATAAATTCTGGCTTAAAGAAAGAATGAGCCACTGGCATTGTGGCACAGTGGGTTAAACTGCCACTTATAACACCGTCATCCTATATCATCATATTCATTTGAGTCTTAGCTGCTCTGCTTCTGATCCAGCTTCCTGTTGATGTGCCTGCGAAGGTAGAATATTTTGGACAAAGTTCTTGGGCCCCTGCCACCCACGTAGGAGACCAGGATGGAGCTCTTTGCTTCCTTCTTTGGCCTGACTCAACCCTGGCTGTTGCAACCATTTGGGAAGTCAACCAGTGGATAGATGATTCATTCTCCCTCCCCCTCCCCCTCCCCCTGCTCCTCCTTCTGGCTCTCCCTCTCTTCTTTCTAATTTCAAATAAATAAATGGAAGGAAGGGAGGGAGGGAGGAAGGAAAGAAGGAAGGAAGGGTGGAAATGAGTGAATCATCTGCTTTTTCCACCATCTTTTGTGAACTCTTTAAAGACAAGGAACTGATCTTTCTTATCCAGTGCCTAGCAAGATAATTTTTAAGATCCAGCTAAGCCAAGGATGTTGTAAAATTCTTAGAATGTATTTCAAAGAAATGAATGAATGAAATCTATACAAACTTTCAGGTATACCCATAGTGACATACTTTTATAAAACATTAAAAGCATTTTAACTGTGTTCTTAATGTTTATTAAATAACATATATTTGTGTATATGAACTAAAATATTTTTGTTAAAAGGTCTAAAACCAGCTTAAAATCAAACATGGCAGATGAAGAAAATACATTGAATCATTTTCATTCGGTGATTTGTATTGAAATTTTGATAAGAAAAGATTTATCTCCAACAAAATTATTTAAATATGTTGAAATATTTTATTGTAAAGTCTCTATTCAAGCCATTTAATGAGAATAGTCAAATTGATCACCTGGGCAATAAAAACTACATATAAAAAAAGGAAAAATATAAAAAAGGAAAAATTCTTCATATATTTTGGTGATACAAAAGTATTATAGTTACCTGATTTTAATGTCATCATAACTGGCACACACTGAAATACAAAAGATGATAGAAAACAACTATGACAGACTATAAGAGAACCACCTAGAAAACCCTAAAGAAATGAGTAAATTCCTGGCTAATATAACCTACCAAGCTTAAATTAAAAGAGCTAGACCATCTAAACAGACCCATAAGAAGCAACGAGATTGAAGCAGGAAGCAAAGGTCTTCCATCAAGAACAAGTCCAGGATCTGATGATTTTACTACTGAATTCTACAAAACATTTAAAGAGGAACTAACTCCAATACTTTTCAAGCTATTCCAAAATAACTAACAGGGTGGAGCTCTGTGAAACTCTTTTTATGAGGTCAGTATCACCGAGATACCAAAATCAGACATGACACAAGAAAAATACAGACCTATATATTTAATGAACATAGATGCAAAGATTAAAAAAAACTAGCAAACGAAACCCAAAACCACATCAAAAATATTATACAGCACAATCAAGTGGGATTAATCGCAGAAAATCAAGGTGGTTCAACATTCACAAAACAATGAATGTCATAAATCACATCAACAGAATGAAGAACAAAAGCGATATGGTCACCACAATAGCTGTAGAAAAAGTATCTGATAAGCTTCAATACCCATTCATGATAAAAAAAAAAAAACCTACACAAATTAGGTATAGAAAGAAAATACCTAGAAATTATAAAGACTATAGATTATAAACCAATATCTAATATTATACTGAATGGTGAAAAGCTAGAAGCATTTCCCCTTATATCTGGAATAAGAATGTCTACTTGCACCACTCTTTTTCAATATAGCACTGGAAGTTTTAGCAAGAGCAATTAAGGAAGAGAAAGAAATAAAGGACATGAAAATTGGAAAAGAGGAAGTCAAATTATACATGTTTGCAGATGACATAATATTGTATATGGGAAAACCTATACATTCCACCAAAAAGCTATTAGAACTGATAAACCAGTTCAGAAAAGTTTCAGGTTACAAGATAAACATACACAAAGTACTAGCATTTTTATACACTAATGATGAGCTCACTGAAAGAAAAATCCCATTTACAATAGCCACAAAAAATCCAAATATTTATGAATAAATTTAGACAATAAATTGAAAGATCTATGCAATGAAAATTATCAAGTTTGATGAAATCATCAGGGACACACAAAAAATGGAAAAATATTCCTTGCTCATGAATTGGAAGAACTGATATCATTAAAATATCTGTATTTCCTAAAGCAAGATATATATTCTATGCAACCCTATCAAAATACCAATGGTATTCTTATTCTTACAGAATTAGAGAACAACAATGCTAACATCCCTCTTGAATCACTAAAGACCCAGAAGGACTAAGGTGAGCCTGAGCAAAAATTCAAGCTAGAGGCATAACAATACCTGACTTCAAAGCATACTATAAAACTAGTAATTAAAACAGCATGGTACTAGCTGTTTTAAAAAAATATAGAATATGTATCAATGGTACAGAACACAGAGAGTCTAGAAATTAATCCGGAAACATACAAACAACTGGTTTTTGATAGAAGTGCTCATACCATACATTGAAGTAAGGATAATCTCTTCAAAAAATGGTGCTGGAAAAACTGGATGTATATGTCTTGAAGAATGAAATTAGAGTCATACTTATCACCATATACAAAAATCAACTCAGGATGGGTCAAAGACCTAAATTTTGAAATTTTTGGAAGAAAATTTAGAGGAAGTACTCCAAGAAATTGATATAGGGAACAACTTCTCAGACAAGACCCCCAACACACAGGCAACAAAGCAAAACAAACTAAACAAATGGGATTACCTCATAGTCAGAAGCTTCTACACAGCAAAGGAAATGATCAATAGATTGAAGAGGCATCCAACAGAATGGGGAAATTATTTGTGAGCTACTTATCTGACAAAAAATTAATATCCAGAACATATCAGGAACTTAAAAAAAAAAAAACAGCAAACACAGCAACAATAATCCAATCCAGTTCAGAAATGGGCAAAAGACCTCATCAAACAGTTCTCAAAAGAAGAAATAGAAATGGCCAACAAATATATGAAAAAATGTTCAAAAATCACTAATTATCAATAAAATGCAAACAAAACCCACAATGAGGTATCACCTCACCCTGTCAGAATGGCTAAAATCCAAAAGACAGAGTAACAAATATTGGTGAGTATGTGGAGAAAGGGGAACACTTATATACCATTGGTGGGAATGTAAATTAGTGCAGCCACTGTGAAAAATAGTTTGGAGATTTCTTAAAATCTAGAAATAGATTCGCCATATGATCCAGCAGTCCAGCTACTGGGTATATATTTTGTATATACCCAAAAGCCTCAACACAGTACATCAAAGAGATACTTGCACTGTCATGTTTATAGCAGCCGTGTTCACAATAGCCAAGATATGGAATCAACCAAGGTATCAATTATCAAATGAAAGTATAAAGAAATGTGATACACACACACACACACACACACACCCCACTGGAATATTCAGCACTAAAAAGAATAAAGTTCTACCATTTGCATAAAAATGGATGCAACTGAAAGACATCATGTCAAGTGAAATAATCTGGACACAGAAAGAAAATACTGCATATTTTCCCTGTATGTTGGAGATAAAATTAAAAAAGAAAAAATAGTGAACAAAAGCTTTACTTTATACCTTTGTCAAATCAACAGTTACAAATGTTATGCTACCATAATTTTAATGTTCTGTGATTACTTTAAAATTTATTGTATAAGGCTGAAATGGACATTTTTCTACTCAATTGTTTATAGCCCTTGTCTGCATTCTCACTAAACTAGGGTCTTTTGCTTTTTCTTTGTTAAACTTCATATTTGAGGAAGCATTAAGCCTTTTTTTACTCTTTCATATTCTGACTTCATTTCATTTGTGTAAATTCCAGGAGTGTGATGGCTGGGTGATATATCTATTTTCATGTCTCCAAAGAATCTCCATACTACCTTCCATAATGATTATACTAGTTTAAATTCCCACCAGCAGTGGATTAGGGTACCTTTTGGCCCCATCTTCACCAATATTTATTGTTTTTTCATTTTTGGATGATAGCCATTCTAACTGGGGTGAAGAGAAACCTCGTTGTGTTTTTAATTTTCATTTTCCTGATGGCTAGTGATCCTGAAGATTTTTTCATGTCTCCCTTGACTATTTGTATTTTGTCCTCTATCCTAGAAAAAATTTTATGCACTGATGAAAAGAAATTTTATTCTTCAACTGTGGGATGAAAGGTTCTGTAGATATCAATTAGGTCCATCTGGCCCATAGTGTGGATTAGCTGTGTTGTGTTGTTGTTGGTGGTGCTGATTTTCTGTCTAGTTGATCTGTCCATTGATAAAAGTGGGTTTGTTGAAGTTACCCATTACTATTATATTGGAGTCTATGTCTCCCTTTATATCCGTTCACATTTGTTTTAAATAGTCAGGTGCCCTGGCATTGGGTGCATATACATTTATTATAGTCACATCTTCCTGTTTAATTGATCCTTTAATCATTACATAATTTCCTTCTTTGACTCTTTTAACAGTTTTTGTGTTAAAAACTATTTTGTCTGATATCAGGATGGCTACACCTACTAGTCTTTGCTTTCCAGTGGGATGGAATATCTTTTTCCATCCTTTCATGTTCAATCTGTGTGTATCTTTGTTGGTGAGGTGTGTTTCTTATAGGCAGCAAATAGATGGGTCCTATTTTTTTCTTTTTGCCCTTTTAGCTAGTCAGTGTCTTTTAAATGCAGAATAAAGGCCATTTTTCATTAAGGGTTATTATTGATATGTAATGACATTGTCCTGTCATTTCCCCAAAAATATTCCTACTATTTGCTTTGGATTTCCTTTGTGCTTTTACTAACAGATTTTTTCTGCCTTCACATTCTTTCATAATGTTGACTATCATTCTCAATTTCTGCATGTAGCACTGTCTTAAGAATCGTTTCGTTTGAAAGGCTGGACAAGCAGTGACAGATTCCTTCAATTTCTGTTGTTTTGGAAGGTCTTTATTTCACTTTCATTCATAAATGGGAGCTTGCAGGGTAAAGTATTCTGAGTTGACAGGTTGTTTTGTTCTTTTCTATTAAGACTTGCACTATGCCTCACCATTCTCTCCTTGTCTGTAGGGTTTCTGATGAGAAATCAGCTGATGCTCTAATTGAGGTCTTCTGAGGGATCTGGCATTTCTCATGCACACTTTAGAATCTTTGTTTTATTACTGAACATTTGACTATAATGTGTCATGAAGATCTTTGCTGGTCGTGTCTGCTAGGAGTTCTATGTGCTTACTGTACTTGGGTGTCCATTTCTTTCTCCAAATTAGGGAAGTTTCCTGCTATTATTTTGGTGGATAGGCCTTCTAATTCATTCTGTCTTTCCACACCTTCCAGAGCTTCTAAGACACATATGCTGGGTCATTTATAGTACCCTGTAAATCTTGAACACTGTTTTAAGTTTTTCTAATTTTTCTTCTCTTCTGGTCTGATTGAGATATTTCCAAGGAATTTTAGGTCAGATATTCTTTAATCTGCCTCAACAAATTGGTCATTAAGGCATTCTACTATATTTTCTATTTGACTCATTGAATTTTTCATTTCTAATATTTCAGTTTGCTTTCTCTTTAATATATCTATCTCTCAGAAAAGAAAACTTTTCATCTATGAATGGATTTATCTCATGTATTTGTTTCAGGGTTCCATGCTCACACTGAAGACCACACAGATCCTTTGCATTGTTCATGCACCTTGAAATAGAGGAGTTGAAGCTTTGATTATGCTGGCCGAGGTGATTATACCCTCCCCCTGCTGACAATAGAGATCTACGGTGTCCAACATTGGTGTCACCCTGGACTCTTTCCCTACCTTTGAGCACTATCTAGAGATTCCTGGCCTCACCCAGCATGTACCTCTGGATACTCACTGGAGAACATACTTCACTAAGCCACAGAGATGTAATTCAAAGATAAATGCCATAAGAGGAGAAAACCAACAAGTGTTTCCACAAATGCCTAAAAATAAAAACAGAAATACAAGAAATACAAGAAAAAATAACAAGGAAAACAATATGATACCCCAAAAGGAACACAACAACACTTCAATATTAGAATGTGAAGACAAAGAGATTCATGAAATGCTGGAAGTGAATTCTAAAAATAAGTTTACTCAAAATGATCTGTGTCCAAGGAACTTGTGGATAATGCAGTAGATTGCACGTTACTGGAATTCTATTAGTCATGTTTGTAAGATTTATTTTATTTATTTGAAAGGCAAAGTTAGAGAGGAGGAGAGAGAAAGAAATCTTCCTTCCACTGTTCACTCCCCAAATGACCACAATGGCCTCATCTGGGCACAGCCGAAGCCAGGAACTTGGGGCTTCATCCAGGTCTCCCACATGAGTGCAAGGATCCAAGCACTTAGGCCATCTTCTGCTAATTTCCCCAGGCCGTTAGCGGGTAGCTGAATCAGAAGGGGAGGATCCAGTACTGGAACTGATGCCCCTACAGGATGTTGGTGTCGCAGGCAGAGGTTTAATGTGCTAAGCCACAATGCCAACTCCCTAGCCATTTTTTTAAGACAAGTCATTGGGTTAACTTTCATCAGGAAATTTTGGCGTAACATAAGATCTCTTTATGTACCATAAATTAGATACAAGTACACATTATGATGTTAAATAATGATCAAGAGAAACAGCATGATGTGATGAGCAGAAGCCTAGGATTGGAGTATACAGCTCTGTATTTTAAACATGATTTTCTGCTAATAAAACCTATAACTTTACATAACACCTTATTTTTGAGTTTCAGCATCTCCACCTTTAAAACAGGGACTGTGGAAAAGACGATCTTTCACACATCTGAGAGATTTAATATTGTTCTTTTCATTACTGTTTTTAGACACAAGGGAAAATACCATTGTTGCAGATACTCTTCAAAGAGTTTGGGCTATACTGGAACTGAATCTAGAGCAATATGCACTTTCTCTCTTAAGGTAAATCAGTGTGATGACATTTCTTATTGCAGTATGTTATATCCTTCAAGAGCCTATTAAATTTACTATGTTGATCGAGTTTTCCCTAGTCTTTCAAACTCCGCATTCACTTATGCTTCTGAACTTCCACAGAATTTTATTTAAAACATTTCTGTGGTACTTTTTACTGTCTTGACTGCACACATCTTAGATTCTAAGCATAAAATCTCTGATAAGCAAACTATAGATTTCTGAAATCTTATAGTGTTGATAAGACAAAAGTTAACATTTAGAACCTGGCAGACTAAAGGAGTAAACAGTTAAACTAATCAAGTGCAATCCCTGGAAGACAACATTCCCCAAACAAGCCTTAGAAAAACTGTGTCTGGTCACAAAATATGTTCACAAGACAGAATAATCTGAATGAAAATAAAAGAACATGATATATATAAAATTACATATACAAGTACTTATAGGTATATTTATATGCATGGTATGTTAAAATAACATGTATTTATTATACACAAATTATTTGAAGGAATGAATGAAAACTTCAAATGTTAACACATTATATAATTGTATAAGTATAAAAATACCAAGAAACCTATATAAGCTACTAAAATTAATCAGATAATTTTTAAAGGGACTATATATAAGATTTGTCAGAAATCACAATTGAATTTCTATTTAGAAGCAAAAGGCAAATAGGAAATTATCCAGAAAATTTTAATACCTAAATATAGTGAAAAAATCCACAATCAGCCAAATATCAAAATTTTCTCTCCACATTTACTTAAACCTGAGTGTGAATACTTCACTTACCTCATTCTAAATTTAGCCCACAGATACTGCTTTTACCTGATCAATCACTCCAGGCTGATTAGCATTTGTTCCAGAATTCTTAACTATTTTCCACAAACAGAATATTTCTGTCTAAAATTCCAACTATGTAGGCTTGTGCAGAGAGCACAAATCTTTCCAACTTGTACCTGCAATATGGAGCCTACCATGGGAAGAGCTCTGGGTCAGATCCTACACCTAATTGTCAAGGAAACAATTTACTGAAAAGCGAGCTCCCCTACAAGGTAGATTGATCCATGTCCCATGAAGTGCGTTTGAAACACAAGCATGAGGGGGCTGTTGCTCCTTACCAAATAAATGGTCTTTTCCTCAAAGCTAAAACCATTTCCAGCATTTCAGCCAATATCATATGTGGAAGCCATGCTCTATCAACAGTTTGAATTTACACCCAAAACTATTAGGCAAAAAAAAAAAAAAAAAAAGCCAGACTATTGTTTAAGCTCAAATGTCAGGAACATTTCAAGCTACTTCCTCCTAATAGGTAGTAGTTACCTATCAGGAAGACATCTTTAGATGTAAGACCTAATGCTAATCCTAACTCTACTGATTACAAGATGTATGTCCTAGGGTAAGTTTCTTACCCTCTCTGAACTTAGTTTCTTTTATTTGTAATATAGGGATATTTTCAAAAGTTCATGGAAAAATCCAATTAAAATATCCTTATTTTGGTGCAAATTTTTTTTCCAATCTAGGCAAAGTTTTTCTCATAATGTACATTTTCCAGAAACATTTTTAATTTCTCTTGTGTCTACCTCATAATATCGTTCCCTGATGAAACTGGAAAGGTAACACAAGAGGAGTACTTAGCACAATGCTACAGATTGAACAGCTACGAAATTTTAGTTATTACAAATACTGATATCATCATTACTATTACATGTTGAATTTTGGGGTCCTGAAGCCTCAACTTGCATTCCCAACTCTATGTGGGCAGAACTTCCCTAAATCCACTTTGCGAAGCTGAATTTAACCCTCTCTCGCTCTTGCTCTCACTCTCTGTCCAATTATGATTTAGTATTAAGATTTAGTCCAATATAGTGTGTGCAATTTAGCCCAACTACATGGATGCACACAAAGAGCATAAGCAGGATCTCTGTGTGAGGTCTCATGCCTCGTATTCATGTAAATGATGTGTTAAAACTGAGCTTCCTAGTAGGCATCTGACCAGACTATATCCTAGGTTAAATCTTACAAGGATATGTCTCCGGGTCATTTAAGAAGCTCCTTATGGTACAACAGGAGTTTGAGCCTCTAAATTTATTAGGATTTCTTGAGGTTTATAGAAAAAGGGTAGAATATATGGGGAGTACAGCAAGTGCTTGGAAATTCTCTACCTCACCTTTATTTTCAAGTACTGACATATACCATTAAATTCAATTCCCCAAATGACTTGATTAATGCCTGTGTTGGCTCAGCCAATACCAATATTTAGATAAGGCTGACCTCCATGTGCCTGCTGGGGGTGCTCCACATTGGCAGAATACCGCATTATAGTCCCTAGTTGGGTGGTCATGTAGTTTTCATCCAAACTGGGAAACTTGGACAAGGAAAATGTGTAGATATCGGTACTTATTCAAGCAATATAAACAAAAATGAGGACCCCAGGGAATCCAGGACACATACTCATCCTACTCTTCATTCTTGTCACCCCTTTAAATATCTTTTAAAATCCCTCCAAGCATAACCTTGTATATTTTCTCCCGCTACCATAGACCAAAAATCAAATAGTATATGTGAATTCTATCCTCCGTGAGAAACTCTGTGACTTTGCTTCCCACTGTCAGAAAAATAAACCATCTGCCTGGTGGAAGCCAAGAACACTGCTGTCTCAATCTAGACCTCAAATAGAGAATCATTTTCTGTGGTCGCAGTGGTATTTATCTCAGCTAATGCCTCAGATGTTGTATAGAAGACCCTGTATTCCTGGTGCTACTAAGGCTAAATCCAGTTTCTGGAAGAATGGGAAGGATAAAACCTGGAAGACCCATTATATTATCCATTCCATCATGTTCTGGAATATGCCACAACAGGAAGAGACCTCTTTATAATGCTTTAACCATTTAAACCCCATGCACTAGAAGAAGCAGAGAAAAAAACCCTAGCACTCTCCCCTTTCATGGTCCTAGTTTTTTAGAATTTATTTTTCCAAACCCATTCCTCCTGTTAAATTCCACTCTAGTCTCATTTCTCTACCTCAATTCTAGACTTTTAGGTGACTTCCACCAGGTTTTATTGCTGGTTGGCCTGCTTCTAGATTTCTTAGAGCTTGCACTTAGCTTCTGATTTGCTATCAATGAACTTTTATAACTCCCTTGATCATGAATTATGTTGTCCTTTGGCTAAAATCTTTACATAACTTTAGGTACCTTTGAGAGACTTCTTTAATGTTTAGCCTGAAATATGACCCTCTAGCTTGGCACCACGCACCATGATCCACATAGCTTGCCTTTGATCAAGAATTCAGTCCAGCAAACAATTGCCTGTAACACTGTATGCTATTTGTGCCTATTTCTTTATTGTAAATGCAGTCCACTTTTAATTTGGCTTTTGTCATTAATTATTTATTTTTATATTTCTAGACTAATGTTTAAAAGCAAATGCAAGTCAATTGAATCTTATCCATGCTTTCAAGATGAAGAAACTAAGATTGCTTTTGCTGACTATACTGTGACTTATCCAGATCAGCCACCAAATACTTGGTTTTTGGTATTCAGGTGAAGTTATCATACATTGAAAAATGATATCATCTGTCGCTCCCCGTCTTCGTGGAGGAGCGACACTAGACCCTGCGCTGTTCTTTCGTCTGCTCGGCCCTCCCCGGGTTTGCTGCTGGTTCTTCCCGGGTTGGCTACTATCCCTTCCACCTCCGTGGAAGGGCAGTTCCCCCTGGCCGCATTCCCCACTTCCGCAGGGGAGCGGCACACCGCCGGCCGGCTCTTCTCGGGGGCTGCACAGGTGTTCCTTCAGCTAGATGTTCCCCATAGATGTTCCTGGTGCATGCCGTCTCTCTCCTCCTTTATAGTCCTCCTCCGCCAATCCCAACTCGGCTGCCCACACGCCGAGCACGCTGCTCTCCAATCAGGAGCAAGTCCTACAGTTAATTGGTTGAACTGGAGGCAGCTGTGCGGAAGCTGTTTACTTCTCTCCCAGCACCATATTGTGGGAGAGCAGATGCATAGAATAAGTCTTAATTCGAGTAACTTAGTCTAGTCCGGATTGCTCCCCACAATCATCCATTTTTGTAAATTGTGGATTAACAGGAAATTCTTATACATTTCATAGGGTAAAGTGCAGTGTTTCAATAGCTCTGTAGTTTTAGTGATAATAGTAAAAAGTACCAACTTCTGCGTTGATTCCAGAACAGTCAAAATTCTTCTACAGTTGCTATATATGAGTTAGGTATTATAAACATTTTTATCTGTTTTTCATAAAAAATTAAGAATATTACATAGTTTTATACCTTCTTATGAGCTTATTAGATAATAATGTTTTCTGTGTAGAAAAAATTCTTCTAATTTCTAAGCAATAGCATTTTTTTAATGATTTTATTTATTTATTTATTTGACAGGTAGAGTTACAGACAGTGAGAGAGAAAGACAGAGAGAAAGGTCTTCCTTCCATTGGTTCACTCCCCAAATGGCCACTACAGGCAGCTCTGTGCCGATCCGAAGCCAGGAGCCAGGTGCTTCTTCCTGTTCGCCCATGCAGCTGCAGGGGCCCAAGCACTTAGGGCATCTACTACTGCTTTCCTAGGCCACAGCAGAGAGCTGGACTGGAAGAGGGCAGCTGGGACTAGAACCGGCGCCCATATGGGATGCTGGAGCTACAAGCAGATGATTCACCTAGTGTGCCACGGTGCCGGCCCAGCAATAGCATATTAAGCACAAGTTATAAATTACTTATAAAATGGAGTTTATTACAAAAGTTTTACATTGATATGTAAATACTGAAATTTTTAAAAATAACTTTAAAGGGCATATGATGTGCCTGCCTTGTAGTTATTTGAAACTTGAAACTTTTTAAACTTTTTGGCATTAAATCTAACTTCAAGTTTTCTTTATGATCATGTCAAGGGAAAGTTCATGCTTTTGTACTTACAGAGAAACATTTTTGGTTCCTCAAGATATGATTTTGCTTCCCAAAATATATGCTACACTCCCAGTCTGTATGCTGCACGTTGTGAATAATGACACTCTGGAACAAGTGCCCAAGGTGTTCCAAAAAGTAGTGCCTTATCTTTATACCAAGAATAAGGTAAGTGTAACCTTCATTCTCCCCTGTGGTAGATTTACAGTGAAGAACCATCAGCTTATCGAGGGCCCAAGAAAAGATTAGCCAAAGGTTCTTTCAATGTGCTTAAACAGAGAACGGGGTTCCGTTCTTTCCCTATTAAGTCCCATTTGTATGATATCAGGAAATACTTAGTGTGAATACTGGAGCATTTTCTGCTTTTCAGTCCTCTTTTTCCTTCTCCCCCATAAAAGTGTAATGAAAAGAAAGTATTAGAATTTCTATTTACTGAAATTACAAAATCATACAAAGCTTGAAACAGAAATTAATCTGATGAGTCTGTTTTGCCCTATTTCTGACCAAACCAGATAGCTGCCTCTCTTCCCTATTGACTTTTTATTCTAATCTTATTACTTGTATTCCAGAAGACTGGGATTACACAGCCACCCACCACCCATCATCCCTATTCTTTCAGCAAACAAAAGCATTTGGCATGCTATTTCTGCTGAATATAAACCCTAATGGCTGACTTTGTCAAACCATGTTGGTTCTGTATCTGTGTAAATCGTATCATCATGGTTTCAATCACGTCCTCTAAGAGGGAATCCTGACAAAGAGCAGGGTATACCTAGACAGGAAATCGAGAGATCTGCTTTAGCTCTGGTCTTCCAGTCTTTAACTTTGTATTTTTTTTCCATTTGGGTTTTGGTTGTAATGCCTGAATTTTACTTTGGCCTATGATTCTATTCATTTTTTATCTGTCTAATGAATACTGAATTTCTAAGAATGAAAGATAAATTTTAAATAGACTAAATCCATAAAAATATAATAGCTCTTTTAGGCTGGCTTAGAGATTTTAAGAAACATCTTAAGAATTAAGGCAGTTAAATTCTTGATGTAGTCATTTAATGCAATTGATATTAATATATGTGTGTAGTTCTATATACGTGTTCTGAGTTTTTTACTGAGTTTTAATATTTCATTATAATTTAAATTTTAATAAACTCATTTTATTAAATATTTTTATGATATAAATTTCTTTTTTCAGATTTATTTATTCATTTGAAAGGCAGTTATATACAGAGAGGGGGAGACAGAGAGAGAGAGAGAGAGGGAAAGAGATCTTCAGTCCACTGGCTCACTTCCCAGATGGCCCAAACAGTTTGGGCTGGGTCAGGCCAAAACCAGGAGCCTGTAACTCCATCCAGATCTCCCGCAAGAGTGGCAGGGGACCAAACACTTGGGCCATCATCTAGTGCTTTTCCATTAGCAGGGAGCTGGCTTAGAAGTAGAGCACTACTACACAAAGAGGTGTTTATATGAGATGCCGTGTCACAGGCACAGTTTTATCCCACTAAGCCACAATGCCAGTCACTGTGATATAAATTTTCCTGATATTGCTGCCAGATTTTACTACATTTGAAGATATTATTAAACTGTGATTGGATTTAAATTACTTTCACTTTGTAATAAATTTGGCAAGTTTCATATTTATATGAGAAATTAATCAATAATAACATGTAATATGTAATAATAACTTACATATTATTGATATAATTTATATATTATTATATATTGCATATTATTAATGTAATTATTACATATTATTAATAATTATTATTATACTTATTACACTGTGAGATTTGAACCTTATGAACTTTACCGCCCTATGATATGAACCTTACCTCCCTGCAGAAAAACATCTTGGGTTAAAACAATCACTATAAGAAAGAATGAGTTCTTCAGTGAAGAACATGTCCTCACAAACAGGGATTATTTTTTGAATGTTTGTCATTTGACATAGATTTCTTTTGGAACAGAAACAATCTATTTAATTTGTGATTTGAAACCTAAAGCCCTAAAGATCAATAGCAAAAGGATGATTTTATTTAGAAAGGGGAATTCTATCAATGTCAAAGATGCCATCAACTTTTAGAAATATGTTCTCCTTCAGGGATCTTTAGACAATTTTTAATGGGAACAAATATTTGTGGGAACAAATAGGAGTCTGTTACATTTAGCATACTGTGTTGATTGTGCTTGGTTTGGTTTCTGTTGGTTTCTGTTTTTGTGAGTAGAGTGAGAAACTGTCTCCCAGACTAAGCTTGACTTTTTATTCAGTAATTCTATATACACAATATTTTCCAGTGTAAACCTGTTTTCATAAAACATTTTGGCTGAATATTTTCACAGAACACACTTTGGAAAACATTCCTCTTAGTTGAACCTCTTAACATTTTCATATGTGGTCTTGGTACCCCTCTTTTCTTTATCTTTTTCTATAATTTGATGCAGCCTTTATAAACTTGCTTGATATGTTTTTATCCTTCTATCCCATTGTTGGTCTCAAAAATCAGCTCAACATCCTTGAATAGATAAGGTCTCAAACTCTATTGAATATTCACCATATTGGTAGCCTGTAGCAAAAATTTTGTGTCTGGCAGGCTCATCAAGAGTTATCCTGCCCCATTTGAAATTCACCAGAGGTCTTGACATATGTCTTCCTGAAATGCAAAAACACCATGTCTACAATAGTTACATGATTTTGTATCTTCTTAACAAGGAAGAACTGAAGTCTTGGTCCCAATAAAGCCAGTAAACCCTGCTGGCATGTGGAAATCTATTTTGCAATTTCAGAGTCTGACAAGACATCCTTTTTGTAACTTGCTTTAGGGCCTTGATAAGGTGCCCATTATTGAACTTGCTAGTCTGTATTTCCCAGAGTACATACTTTCCTTTGATTTGAAAAAATCAGAATGGTTTGCTCAATTGTTTTTTCATAATTCCTCAAAGACCACATACAATGATTCACTGCATTCACATATGAGACATGGTATTTGGTATGATGTTATGTTATGTTAGTGTAACTCTTACTCTGCAAGTCCTGAATTTATTTAGAATAGCCAGTTTCTGTCTTATAATTCTATCACTAGCCAAGTTTTAAATCTTCAGTTACCAACATCTAGCCTACAACTTTATAACTTTTTCCCCTTAAAATTATTTACTTACTTTGGACACACACAATCTAAGAGTTAGGTCATTTTGTTTTTATTCTTTAATGCATTAGTACCATATGCTCAACTAACAATGGAAGTATCAAAGAGTCAGTGTGCTGCACTTTGCAGGTAAAAAAATATTTTAGCATATGTGATTTATCTTTATTTTGTGACTTATCTCAAACATTGAATCAAGAGGCTCTTATTGATGTCGCTATTCTCTTTCATGATGGATACTGGAATTCATAATATTATCTTTATTAAATCTATGAAAAATTTTGTATTCATTCTGGCTGTATTGTTTCTGGTAACCTAAGCACATAGAGGTCTTCCTCTGCAGGAGAGAACACCTGAAAGGCAAACATACCTTTTCATTCCTCACTTCGAGCATCTGGAATCATACACACAGAATCACTGTGAACTTGTATATCTTATCTTGAGACTGTGCTCTTGATTCATTGACTTCTTGGCCAGAGACCCAGTTATGTTGAACCAAGTTGTTCTTCACCCTAAAGTAGTCACTTTCCAGGTTTGTTACCTGCCTCTTTCCTCCAACCTAAAGAGGTCATCTCCAGACGTACATCTGGATTTTGTGGAATCAGATCAAGTGATAATTTGATAGCTGACCCATCCTCTTATGAGAACTACACATTTATAAACTCTTCTGCTTTCCTTATCTTAGTATTTTAGAAAGATAACAAAAAATAAATAAAATAGAACATTATTGGTAACTCCAGGATGGTGCCATGGGAAAAACATGCTTCAGGGGGCATTAGAAAAATAACAAGAAAACATGGTAATAATCATCTACTACAGTTAAGCACTTTGTTTTATAGTTATGGAACCACACAAAGAAAAATTCTGGAATTTATTGTTTTCCTGAAAACATGCAAGAGGATATGCTTTCTAAAAGGAATTTCAAAGCATGTTAGGGACTCAATATTTATTAAGAGAGTTTGGAATCTAAACATATGTAAAGATACTGAAGCCTTTTAGTACTGTGAAGTTATATACTCTACGTTGGAGAGATAGGCAACCATGGAATAAATTTCTCTGTAATTTTTCTTTCTCATAGAAAGGATATACGTTTGTGGCTGAAGCGTTCACTGGTGACAACTACATATCTGCATCACGATTTAAACTGCGCCTCATTGGTCCTTATACTCCACTCCCATGCCTTTCTCGAGACACTCCATGCAACACCTTTGCCATAAAGGAAATCAGAGATTACTACATTCCCAATGACAAGAAAATTTTATTCAGGTATAAGTATATGATAGAAGGGGCAAAGCCTTTTAAAATAGAATTTTAGGATAAAAATAAATATGGTAGTAAAACCCTAAACCAATTTCAATTTCAGTTTCTAGACTCTTCTGGAAACAGAGCATTATATGGGTGATATATAGGATCAGCCTTGTGATGACACATAAAGACACTGACACTTTCTTTGTCTTCATCCTAACCAACCTTCATTAAACACTCTTCATGCCTTTACTTCCTGTTTTTACTTTCTCCTTGCTGCACTCCATCATGGCCTGCTCTCTTGTAGAGATTTCTCTCCATGTGCTGACCCAAGCTACTCTGCAGGCTCATCTATGTACTCTCTTTGGAAGACCCCATCATGAACCCCACTTCTTTTACTCATCAGCCCTGTTGATTCTAAGGCAGGTCTGCCTCTCCTTTCTCTGCCTTTCTCTCTATCGCCAACGTCTCAATACCTTAGGTGCTCATTATCTATGCTGAAATTCATGACTTCATTACACTCCCTTTCTTTTTTATATTCTCTGTCATTTCTCCCTCTCCATTTCTACTTTTTATAGAATTGACAGAGGCAATGCACATATTTTATTATAAATGTTCAAACAAATGTATTATTATTTTCTAGGATCTTAAATATTCTCCAAATATTGGTAAATTGAATTTAAAAATATATTTCTGATATATATGTAAATAATAATTTATTATATGAATATTCTGATTTATTTGTAGCTACAATTCACATTTGGCTTGGCTTTTGAACTTCTTCCCCTTTAAACAATGCAAAAATTTCTATAACAAAATATAATTAGCAATAAAATTAAATCAGGGAACAACATTATACAGTCTAATCCCAAGTATATTTTTTTTTAAATTTACATTTGTTTATACATTTTATGTAGGTAAAAGTTTAGAGAAAAATTTGAAGAAAGCACACTTGGCTGAGGGCAATAGAAGAAACAGAAGACTTATTTTTTTAGTTTGTCTTCTTCTTGTAATACACTTATGAATTACCAACTTGAAATAAGGGGAAAAAGAAAGAGGGAAAGAAATAACAACTGTGTTAAAATATTTTAGCTACTATTATAGGAACCACAGTATTACACAGCAAGGCCACTGATAGATTGATAAGTGACGCACAACCCAACACCTAAATTACTCCCGAAAGCTTGTCTTGCAGCTGTAAAGCCAAAGGGTAGGAAAGGTGAGGAAAGGAGTCCTTGAGTAGCTTACCAAAGTTCGTCAGTGAAGCAGGATATTCTTCTCCTGAGAACTAAAGACATCGAGTTTGTAAAGTGGGGCTCCAGACGCTATGCAGGGGGTGAGGCAGGAGAAAACAGCAAAGCCCTTGCTGAAGCACCTCATGTTGCAAGAAGTACAGATGGAACCTTCGAGGCCATGGGGTGGTTTAAAGGATTTTAAGAAAAATGGCATCATCAGAGCTGTGTTAAAAAGAAAAAATCTGCAAAGCATAAACTGAAAAAAAATTTTAAATTCTTCCTAAGAGAGAAATAAAATTAGAACATTGTGAAAAATTGTATTTAGTCATAAAAGCTAGTGAATATTGCATATATATTATATATAAAAGATAAAGCACTTATAATATAGTGCTATATATGTAGAAATAGACATATGTTTCATCTTTTCCATATAACAAATTTATCTACATATGCTATGCTGTATATAAATGATATATGTATATCAACATACTACGTACTACATTAAAAGACATCTATGGCTACATGTTGTATAGTATATGTCCACATATTATGAGTTATATATTTGTATATATACACACATACATATGTATGTATGTATATGTATATATATGTGTGTATATGTAAAAGATATGTTTTATATATATATATGTCTGTGTATATACACATAGGCTCAAGGCTGTTGTGTGCTGAATGCACTGACTGAAGAAGTGTAGCATGGCCAGGTGTAGGGAGAGGGGCAGAAAGATTTGAAATAACCAAGTGTGTGATAATAGTAACACAAACAGGGCAAGGTCTTCTAGTGCTGCTATAACAAAGCTCCACACACTGGGTGGCCTAACCAACAGAATAATGCCTCAGTTCTGGGTGCCAGCAGTTTAAGATAAGGTAGGTTGGTTCCTACTGAGGGCCATGGGAGAGAATCTGTTTATGACTTCTTCTAGCTTCTTGTGGTTTGCTGGTAGACTTTGGTGTCATTGGCTTCTGGATGCATCATCCAGGTCTCTGGCTTCATCTTCATATGATTATTACCCTGTGTGCTTCTGCTTTCAAATTTCTCATTTTTATAAAAATGCCAGTCATATGGGGTTAGAGTTCATCATAATGACCTCGTTTTAACTTGATTACCACTGCAAGACCTCTCTCCAAGTATGGGACATTGTGAGGCACTGAGAATTAGAATTCCGACATATCTGTGATCAAGAGAAGAAGGCAAAATTCAACCCCTAACAGGCAGTGACAGTGGACCTGAAGAAAGGAGGAAAGACTTTAAGATATTGAGAGAAAAGTTACAGGCTTAATTGATGGTGACTGCTGGGATTTAACTTAGAGACATGGTTCCGACGATGTCATTTACTTGTTTCAAAGGGCACAAGGGAATAAGTCCATTTTCAAGGTGGTAATTGGTTGTTAAAATGGTCAGTTAAACAGCCACATGATATGCCATCGGTAATTGGACTGGAGACTTTGATTTGGGAATCATGTTTCTGCTCATGGAACAGACAAGAAAGTTTGTAAAAATGAGAGTCAGACACAGAAAAGAACAGAGAAATCCTCTGACATTTGTAGAAATACAAACGAGAAAGGAAGCTAGAAAAAAAAAAAAAGTCCCACAATGGGAGAGAATGTCTAAAGGAAGAGTTTTTAAAGGAGTAGGAAGTGAGCATTGATTAACACTTGTGAAAATCTTCTGAGAGGTTCAGGAAGATGAGAACGGAAGTTTCTATAGTGGTGAGCTGCTGGTAGCCATGGCAAGAACAATTTTTGACCAGGGTTGGTGGCTGAGTAAGCCTGTGGGTGGTGATGAGATGAGAAGAATGGAAGAAGACTGCTTAGATGGCAAGCTGGAAGGAGTGCAGATTGGATTGAAGATTCTGTGGTTTGTTTTGTTGTTGTTATTGTTTTGTTTTTATTTCTTTAAAGATTGGAGAAAACTGCATGAGAACAAGAAATAATGGGAAGGAGGAATAACGATGGGGGGATTTAAGATAGAAGAGAGAGGATACTCAGGATAGCAAATTTCTAGAGGAACTGAAAGGTGATAGAGTCCTAAGGAATCACCTGGACTAAGAAAAAAAAATCAAAAACCAATTCCTTGCTTGCATTAAAGGGAGTTAGAAAGGGTGAGTTAATGATACCTTTCTCGTCTTTTCACAAAAGGTTCTAACTCGTTCAGTGAAGACTGAGAGGAACCTGCAGTATTACTCTGAGTTTCTATTTTTGTGATTTAAGGAAAATACTCTGAAAAGTGGGACTTTGAGAGTTCTGCTTCTACCAGTTGTGCATTTCATCTGAGTACAAAGGAAGATATGATGGAACAGACTGGCATGGCGTTAGCAGTGTGCACATTTAGTAAGACGATTGGTAGCTTTTAGGGCTATTGCATTCCCTAAGTGACTGTTCAGCATATCTGAACAAAAAAGGTATATATGCTATTGGAATTTGATAATAAAATTCCTATATTGTTATTGTTTTACCAGATCATATTAGAATTCTTTGCCAAAGGCAATAATACCTCTAATATTTTTAAGATATTAACCAACTTTACAAAGTGGTTTTACTTTTAAATCATCAAACCCAGAAAATTATGTGGTTTCCTTTAGTGATCTCAGAGAGGCCAATGTACTTTCTTACAAAGTAACTTGTTTTCTTTATAGATATTCTGTTAAAGTTGCATTACTTCATCCTGTTACAATACACGTGCGCATATCCAAGCCAGATGCATTCATCAAGCTTCAGGTTCTAGAAAATGAAGAAACTATGGTGAGCGTTGTTGGCAAAGGTCAAGCTATAATCCCAGCATTTAACTTCTTGGGGAGTGAAAAAGCTTTGAGTTCCCAATGTAAGTGTACCTTTTTGAATTGGATACTTGGATTCATAAATAGATATTTATATTATTTATATTTTCATGACATTATGACATGAAAATCATTACTCTCGATATAATGCTTTCACTGGATGAGTAAATAAAGTTATCCGTGAATAGGGATTAATAGTAACAGTGTGAGGCATATTATCTATTCAGTTGTTTTAGTGGCTTCCTCTTTTTATATTTCTGAAAGATTTATTTTTATTTTAAAGTCAGAGTTACAGAGAGAGAGGGAGAGACAGAGAGATCCTCCATTCACTGGTTCATTCCCCAAATGGCCATAATGGCTAGGGCGTGGCTTGGCCAAAGCCAAAAGCCAAAAGCTTCTTCCACATCTCCCACATGAATGCCAGGGGCCCAAGCACTTGGGCCATCTTCTGCTGCTTTTGCAGATGAATTAGCAGGGAGTTTGATCAGAAGTAGAATTTCTGGGACCCAATCCACACTCATATGCTAGCATTGCAGGCAGAAGCCTAATCTGCAGTATCCTAAACTGTCCCTAGAAGTGGAAAATTACGGAAGTATGGTTCTCTCAGAATGGTACTATGAAATGCATTAAATCTTCTGTTCTGCTTATATTAAAAAATGAAAAAAAGAGAATCTGAAATTCTTTATAGTCATGCTACTCAGAAAATAAAATAGTGCCTCCTTCTCTACCTTTTCATTTACATTTTAAACAAAATTGGGATCGTACCTATTTTGCCAGTTGATACCTCTGCAGTTTTTCCTTCTTTGTAGCATTGGTTGTGACCTCTAGGCCAATGTTAAATAAAATTGATAATGATATATTTCCATTATATTTCTATTTTTAAATAAGAAGGCTTGTTGCAAGTTTCATTGTCTTAAGTTGTTAATTTCTAATAATTGGCCTTTATTAAGGTTAAGAAAGTTTTTTCTATTAATTACTATGAATTTCAATTGGGAATGAGTTTGAACCCCATCCTCTTTTTTGATGTTTCTAAAAATCATTAAATCTTATCCCTTTGTATTTCATAATTTGATTCTTAATGGTGAGCCCTCCTTGCATTCTTGGAATAGTTTGTATTTGGCTATGATGCTTTAATGCATCTTATCCTGAGAGTACATGATTTTATTTGGATTGGTGGATCAAATTAATGACTTTGTATCTCTAGTCATCTTTTTGCCTGAGTATGCACCTTCACATTATTCTTTCCTTACTCTCAAGTTGAAATTATGATGAATTCTTGAGATTAATGTGGAAATGTTCTAATTTTTCAAATTTTGTAAAACATTTAAATGTTACAGTAATCATTTATGTTTTTTAAGTTCCTTAGATTTGACCTCAAACTCGACATCATATGCTTTCAGGGCATGCATTTTGTTTGTTTTTTACTTTATTTTTAACAAATTTTTGAAGTTTTGAGGGCTTTAATATTCCATTTTTATAATACATATTTTTATTTCAAAGTCACAAATTCATCTAGCATTTTAAATTTATTCACATAAAATTGCATGCAGACTAATCTCTTTTCAATGCAAACCAGACCCAAATCTAGTAGGAGAAGAGAAATAATTAAAATCAGAGAAGAAATCAACAGGATTGAATCAAAAAAAAAAATTACAAAAAATCAGCCAAACGAGGAGCTGGTTTTTTGAAAAAATAAACAAAATTGACACCCCATTGGCCCAACTAATTAAAAATAGAAGAGAAAAGACCCAAATCAATAAAATCAGAGATGAAAAAAGGAAACATAACAACAGACACCACAGAAATAAAAAGAATCATCAGAAATTACTAAAAGGACTTGTATGCCAGCAAAGAGGAAACCTATCAGAAATGGATAGATTCCTGGACACATGCAACCTGCCTAAATTGAACCAGTAAGACATCGAAAACCTAAACAGACCCATAACTGAGACAGAAATTGAAACAGTAATAAAGGCCCTCCCAACAAAGAAAAGCCCAGGACCAGATGGATTCACTGCTGAATTCTACCAGACATTTAAAGAAGAACTAACTCCAATTCTTCTCAAACTATTCAGAACAATCGAAAAAGATGGAATCCTTGCAAATTCGTTTTATGAAGCCAGCATCACCTTAATTCCTAAACCATTATTAAATAATGTTTTAAAAGTTTTATTTTTGATTATAGTTTTTCAAGGTTTCACCATATTATTGATCTTTTCTTGGAAGTAATTCCTGTATTTATTAATCAAATTTTAATAGCTCTCTTAGATTTGAAAGCTACTTCATTAATTTTTTTACTTTTATAATTTTATTCGATATTGTGAAAATATTAGTAATAGCACAAGATGAAAAAAGAGTTTCCTGGACATGACAATATGAATTTCATTTTAGGTTGAAAATGATACATTTTTTTATTTTAATTTTTTTAATTTTTTTATTTTTTTAACTTTTATTTAATGAATATAAATTTCCAAAGTACAGCTTATGGATTACAATGGCTTCCCTCCCATAATGTCCCTCCCACCCACAACCCTCCCCTTTCCCACTCCCTCTCCCCTTCCATTCACATCAAGATTCATTTTCGATTCTCTTTATATACAGAAGATCAGCTTAGTATACATTAAGTAAAGATTTCAACAGTTTGCTCCCACACAGAAACATAAAGTGAAAAATAACAGATGATTTTTTAAATAATGATGAAATCAGATCAGACCTATTGTCATGTTTAATCCCAGTGAGAGTCAAGTTGGGAACTGATAATTTCTTTTTTTTTTTTTTTACAGAAGATCAGTTTAGTGTACATTAAGTAAAGCTTTCAACAGTTTGCACCCCCATAGAAACACAAAGTGAAATATACTGTTTGAGTACTCGTTATAGCATTAAGTCTCAATGTACAGCACATTAAGGACAGAGATCCTACATGAGGAGTAAGTGCACAGTGACTCCTGTTGTTGACTTTACAAATTGACACTCTTGTTTATGGCATCAGTAATCTCCCTATGCTCCAGTCATGAGTTTCCAAGGCTATGGAAGCCTGAAAATGATACATTTTTAATAAATTTTTTAAAGATTTACTTAGTTTTATTTGGAAGTCAGAGTCAGAGAGAGAGAGAGGTCTTCTATCTGCTGGTTCACTCCCCAGGTGGCTGCAACGGGCAGGGCTGGTTGTGTACTCTGTGTTTCTGAGGGCTGGGATGACTTTAGTGTTGATTTCTGTCCTGAACAGTGATGAACGACTGTTGCTGGCTGCATCCTTTTACTGACATTTTTAATCTGGTCTACCCACTTCTTTCTGCTAATAAACCAAAGCTTGTGGATTATGATCCTGAGACCTGGATTCAGTTCCCAGCTCCCAACTGCAGTCCTCTGGTCTTCTGGGGCATTTGGGAAAGTGAAACAGCAGATGGAAGCACTGTATCTCTCGCTCTCCCTGACTCTCTGTCTCTCTTTTATCTCTCCCCTCCTTTACCTCTCTACTTCCTTTTAAATAAATAAAAACTTTAAAATGAAAAATGTGTATTATGAAAAAAACTGTGCACATATTGCAAACTTTTTCTGTACCAGAATAAGCTTATTTTTAAATTCCATTTCATCCATTATTTTATATTTAATTTTTCAAAACCTTCCTCTTCATTTTAAATTTTATCAAATGATTATTTCTTCATTTCACCAGTTTAAATTTTAGCTGTATTTAAGTCTTGTTAAAAATAAATATACTTCATATATATATATTTTTCAAAAATAAGGTTCCATATATTGCTTAGGATGCTATACATAGTGTCATTATGTGAATCACAGCCTATGGTTTAATTTAGATTTTTAAAATCTTAAACTTTTATATTTTTATAATGTTAATCTGCATTTTTTGGAAAGAACTCTACTTGATTACACTGTGTTATTTCCTTATTTTGATTTTTATAGTCCTAGATTTGACTTACAATCATTTTATTGGCAAGTTGTTCTTAAAGATTTAGTTATTTATTTGAAATGAGCAGTAACAGAGAGGGAGAAGGAAAGGCAGAGAGAAAGAGGTCTTCCATCCACTGGTTCACTCCCTAAATGGCTAGGACCCAGAGGCTTCTTCCAGATCTCCCACACGGTGCAGGAGCCGAAGCCCTTGAATCATTTTCTGCTGCTTTCCCAGGCACGTTAGCAGGAGCTGGACTGGAAGTGGAGCAGCTGGAACTGGAACTTGTGCCTATATGCAATGTGGGTGCTGCAAGCGGAGGCTTAACCCACTGTATAGCACCAGCCCTGGCAAAAAATTTTAAGTCTTTATTTATTCATTTATTTGAAAGACAGAGTGACAGAGAGAGGGAGAGACCCAAAGACATCATTCTTGTGCTGGTTCAGTCCCCAAATTCTCACAACACTCAGATCTGGATGCCATCCTGGTCTCCCACATGTATGGCAGGGACCCAGATACTCAGGTCATCCCCCTCTCCCTTCACAGGCATATCAGCAGGAAGCAAGATGGGAAGCAGAGCAGCAGGAACCTGATTCGGCACTCATATCAGATGTGGGCATCGCTAGCAGCAGCTTAATAAGATGTGCCCCACTACTGGCCCCATTATTGAAATATTTTTACATTTATATTCCCAAGTATAATTATTTTTCTTGTTATTTATTTTTAAAATTGTTTATTAACAAGAATTATATATATTTTGGAGGTATAGCATGACATTTCAATACATGAATACAGTGTGTATCAAACATCACAGTAAACATTTCCTCTTCTTGGACTTTACTTATGAACTTCGAAGTTCCTGTCTTCCATTTGCTCATAAAATGAAAGTAGTTTATTTTGGACAATAGTCCCCATGCTTTGCTGGGGTGACATTCCTGCTGTTAATTCTGATTTGGCATTATAGTTGGTGAACAAATGTATTAATCATATATCTGTTGAATACTCGTGTAAATTAGATTTATCTCTGTTACTTAAAAGTTAAATTCTGTATAGTCTTTTAATGCATTCTATCTCTGTTTATGTGATTATAAATTATAAGATACATAATTAGATAGAAAAGGCCTTTGTTTCCTGTCA